ATGCGCCCGGCCGCCGCCGCATGCGCCATCCAGGTTGCGGGGCCCGCCGCTTCCAGAAGCTTCTGGAAGGCCGGTGCTGGTGGCGGGTCAGAGGGGATGTGAGCTCACTTCCGGGGCGGCGCGGGGCGGGCGGCCTGCGCGCGCATGCGCACGCCGTGACCTTCCCTCACGTGCGCGCGGCGCGGGCGCAGACGCGGTCAGTCGGTGGCGGCCGCCATGGTGAGTGCGCGCACCGCTCCGCTGCGGCCGGGATGTGTGCGGGAGCTGCTGCGCGCGCTGTCCCCCGTTCCCTCCCGTTCCCTCCCCGTTCCCCCGCTGCGCGGGGCCCTCGCGCCAGGAGGGAACAGCGGGGCGCTGGGCGGCGGCGGGTGGGCGCGGGGCGGCGGGGGGCGGCTCGGCACCGGGGCGCTGGGCGGCGGCAGCGCTGGGTCCCGTCGCGGGGCCCCGGTGCCTGGCAAGGTCACGCAGCCCTTGGGGAGCCCGCGCCCGCTGCGGGCGGGAGAACCGGAGCTTCCCGCCGTGGTTCCGAGCTGCTCCTTGCAGCCGAGCACGGGCCCTTGGAGGAGCGAACGGAGCCTCGAGCTGTCAGTTGGACACGGCAGAGAAGGTCTCCCGCGGCGGCCTTGTCCATCGGCAGCCACGGTGACAGCTTTGGAGGGTGATGGGGACATGGTCTGCCATGTACTGGGGCTGGCGGTGTCCCCGTGCAGGTCGGGGGTCCCCCGGCTCTCCACGGCCCGCGGGTGCGGGGCGATGGCGCTCCGGGACGCGCAGGTTTCTGCCCTTACCCTGCGAGCAGCCTCCGGGTACCCGGTCCGCGTCGCGCTGTCGCTGTGTGACCTGCTTGTGCTCCACATCCCTCCTCTTGCATCAGAGCTCCTTTGCTATCCCGAGCCCTGCGGCTGGGATTCAGCGCGTGGAGTCGGGCTGCCGCCTCTGCACTGCATCGGGGACCTGGAGGACATAGCAAAAAATGTTAATGCTCAGGCAGAGGTAGCTACAAACTAGCTTCTGATGTGAAGGAGCAGCAGAAACACATCTAGCTTCTTACTGAGTCACAAAAACGTTTGCTGGTTTTTTGTTTTTTTCTGCAATCTACTTGCAGAACTCAATACAAATTACTGCAAATTTCACAAGCTGTATAAAGTTTTGTGAAGCGCTAAGCCTTGAAAACATCAGGAACTCACATGTGGCACCCAGTAGCTTTTTGCTGCTTTATTATTAAGCCCCCTAATGTAGCAGATGAAAATGCTACTGACCCAAGAAGTTATTAATCTTCATTAGATTTTACTGTGGCATGATAGAAGTATTGTATATAGCCACGTCAATAGTGGTGCTCAGTAAAGTGTTCAAGAGTCAGTAGCCTGAAAGCCAGTGGTGCTTTGCAGGCACGTGCAAGGGCTGCTCCGTCTGGTGGTGCTTGATGGCCTTAACTGGAGCACATCGTGGAACTCCCAGGATGGCCCAGTGTGTGTCTGATAATCCTGCTTCTAGGCTTGAGATACAAAATTCCTATAATTCAGTTCCCTTGTTTCTTTAGCCATTTCTGGTGCAATTCAAGGTTGCATATACCTGGCACTGTTAAAGGCAGTGATGAGCATCTTTTTGAAATTTTTTGGCTTCTCTCAGAAGGGAGATCACTGTAGGGAGTAGGGGGATTTCATTTTTGTTGTAGTGATTCTGCTGTTACAGTATATAATTATTTTTGCAGGCAGGAAAGGCATTTAGGAAATTCCTTCCCCTCTTTGATCGTGTCCTGGTTGAGCGATGTGCAGCTGAGACTGTAACCAAAGGAGGCATCATGATCCCAGAGAAAGCTCAAGGGAAAGTGCTACAAGCAACCGTAGTTGCCGTTGGCTCAGGAGCCAAAGGAAAGGTAAATGCTTTTCACTTTGGGTGGACATAGTAACATAGTGGTGGTAGTTGGAAATTTATCCTAAAGGGGCTGCTTGCTGTAAAAAATGTAGCAACACCTCACAAAAACAAACGAGGATGATGAGCAAAGGTTGAAGTGCAGGCTCAAAAATAAATGGTAAATGAGTTTTGTATTAAAAATGAGTTTTGTATTAAAAACATTGAAAAAAAAAGCCTAGTACCATAGAAAGGACAGTCTTGACTTCATTTCACAATTTTTATATGTCAGTGATTTGAGGCTTCAGCATTAGGGGTTTTTTTCCCCCTCACAAAAGAAGTATTGATTTGGTAGTAATCATGCAGACAGTGTTTAAAATTTAACCTGTGCATGTTGACCCAGATTCTTCAAATCTCTAAGGATACTGAGACAAAAGAGCATGCAATCTCAAAGCTTTATGTTGTGAAATGGTGTTAATAATTGACAAGTGGGTAATATTTAAGTTAGAATACCAAAAGGTAATTAAGCATGTACTTAAATACAATGTATAGATTTGCCAGTAGCATTGATAAGTAAAGTAACAAGCATGGGAAGGTCTGCTTAATTATCACTTCAAGAAATTATCCCCGGTTACAAAATAGGTAAACAGACTTTACTGGCTTTTTTGGAGGGGTGTTCGGTGTCACTTAATTCTTCAGATTTTTTTTCCTCTCCTCAGAATGTGCAGAGTTCACAGTTGTGTTTACACTGAAACTAGTGGAAATACTTTGCATTCAGATAATCCACTGCAGTTCTGTTGTCTGAATGGTGTTGGTTTCTATTGAGAATTGAGTAGGGTATTTCTGCTCCCACTTAGAAGGAATTCTTGTCATTAAATCGACCAGTTTACTTTTTCTAAATCTTTTTCTTCTTTCTTTCAGAATGGTGAGATTCAGCCAGTAAGCGTAAAAGTTGGTGAAAAAGTTTTGTTACCAGAATATGGTGGCACTAAAATTGTGCTAGAAGATAAGGTAGGTTTTGCTATTTTGTGAATGGAGACTAAGCTGGTTCCCAAAAGGTCATGCTGTCAGTGACAAATACTGTGATTTTTTTCATGGGATTAGCAGCATTAAAAAATGCAACTGTTGGTGTTCAAGTGAAAGAGCTGAATCAAGCTATCTTGTGATATCTTTACTGCTTGCTACTTTTACCTTGCTTAAAAAAAAACAAAATAAGTATGGCGTGATCTTTGGGTGGAAGAATTAAACTATAGTCCTTAGATGGGGAGCCAAAAATCCCTAAGGTCCCTTGAAGTTACTGGGTGTACTTTATTTTTGGCAGGGAAAGTACACACCATTACCTTCTAAATACATGGCTGTTCCTGTCACTAAAAATAGTAACCTGTTATCTTTCCAAAGAGTTTCTGACAAGGGAAAAGTTTTTCTGGGATTTGAGCCATTTCTGGTTACCTTGCTTATAATTTGTAACTCATGATCGTGGTAGCCTGATTTTAGAAACAGCATCAGTGAAATAATAGGTATATTATTGATATGATAATTGATATACGAGATATTAATGTGTTTCTTTATTTGCAGGACTACTACTTGTTTAGAGATGGTGACATTCTTGGAAAATACCTGGACTAAACTTCTTGCCGTATCAGTCATTCATTCCACTAAAATGCTGAAATCTTTTTGTTCATCATGTAAATAATGTCCTTTATTTTGTAATAAACAGGCATTGAGTCTCAGATATAGCTTGTGATCTCACAGTAATGATGGAACAAATAAAAATATGTACAGTCAAAAATAAGTTGCTGTTGTTTGAGTTCCACTGAACAGTGAAATTCAGATGACTACCAACCAGCCTTAATTATTCCAGACAACATCAATTTTGTATCCATTTCTTCTCCTGAGATTGTAAAGGCCTGTACAATAAACTTCTAAAAGTATTCTGCTTCTGTCTCAGTTTCTGCTGCTGCTCAGTGAAACTGAGTAAAGTGCCTTGAGTTAATCTCGGAAAAACACAGTTCTGCTGTAGTATTTTCACTAAGTTTATAGAAAGATGGGAGAACAGTTTAAATGTGGGATAGCATAGTTGCTGCAGGGATGAAGCTGCAGGGATGAGTTGTAACCTAGCTCTGAAAAATGTCTAACTGTATCTTAAGTGACAGGTGACTTTGCCTTATCTCCTTTACAACTAATTATTGGTTGATTACAAGGTGTTTGGATTAATGTGTGCACAAACCGCCAAGATAGTGTTAACTGCTGCTGCTACAAGCAGCCTGTGGTGCAGCAACCACCATGAAGCTTGAGGCCGGTGCCACCAGCGCTAGGAGAGGGTGCAGATCTGGCACGTGTCTCAATTTTGCTAGTATGTAACAACATTCTTCCAGTAGATAAGAACTGGGCAGAGCTAGAGCTTTTACTAATCTTGAACATAGGAATAAATAAGTTGCTTTACTCCCGGCTGGATCTCTCCAGCTTTTTGCATGAATTAGTAAGAGGCCGATTTTTTCCTATCTTTGCAGTCAGGAGCAGCAGCACATGCCCCATTCATTACTTGCACTACTAACCTGTAAGCGCTTTTCTCACTCCCCAGCTGAGGCTGCGCTGCTGTCCCCTGCAGGACTGCGCTGAACTGGCCCTGCATTGCTGCTAAGCTCACGTGCCACAGTCCTTTCCCCTTGTCCTAACCTCCACTTTGTGCTTTCAGACCTTGGAGCTTTTCAGCCCCTTGGAATCAGCCTCATCTAATGAAATATTTCACGAGGATCTATCTGCTAGTCTTTATGTAACTGACAGAAGAAGTTGCATTTTCCAATATTGAGGATGTAAGAGAAAATGCACTTCTAGACCTAGCCAAATCGAGCATGTGCTTAAACATCTGTTGAATCAACAGTCACAGATAACATTTCATTCTTGCTCTGTAAGGCTATCGCTGTAGGCAAGGACAAGGTAACTGCTAGATTGTCAAGGTTGTCCATCTGCTGTAACTTTTCTAGTCCATGCTTGCCTACCAACTTCTGTATCCTCTGCTTTTTATAGCAGGGGGGACAGCGTCAATCACAAGTGTTCCTTCTTGGCTGTTCATTCCTGTAGCAACTGGGAATTCTTCTGCTATTTTATAAACTACTACTAAGCTTCAACATGGAGCAAAGTGTGATATACAGACCTGCCCTAGATGCTTCTCTGCATGGATGCAATTCTTCCCAGTCTTCCTCAGGCTGCCTGACTTAAGGAAACAAAGAGCATCTACTGTATATACTTGCCCTAACTCTTTTTCTTGCTATTGCAGAAAAGCTCCCAATAGAAGCAGCTGTACTACTTTCAGAAAACCTTTTTTTGTTGTTGTTGTGCCTTTGTTTTCCTATCATAATAAGAGAATAAACTTTTGCATACCAGTAAAGAGAGAAGAAAGAAAGGCAAGGCTCTTAACAATGGAGAAAAATACAGTAAAATCTTGGGCAAATATTCCACTTGTCCTTCATGAACAATGAAGGTCAAGTAAAAAAGAAAAAGAACAAGAAAGAGAATAAATATCTTAATCCAATTTTCCTGTAACTTGCAATATAGTTAAAAAAAAAAGTAGCTTCCAATTATAAGGGCAACATGAAAGATGTGGTGACCTGCGGACTTCAACACCTTGATCAAGAAATACTGCAGATTTCTCTTCTGCAAAACCAAGACTCAGTGCCTGATTAAACTGGCACTGACAGATTTGTTTTTCATGGCCAGAATTGTATTTTTAAAGCTCCAGTGTCCATGAATAAAAGTCAGGGACTAAGAGAAGGCCAAGTGCCTTGATTTTCCGTGCTTTCAGTCGCTAGCTAAACCTTGAAAATGTTGACTGAAATAAAATAAATAAAGAAGAAGCGATGTTGGGCTGTAGGGCCCTGACCAGCTAGTGGTGCTTTCGTTAATTATAGCATCCATCTTTTCAGAGATTGATGCCGTGTTATATTACAGCTTTTTTTTTTTTTTTTTTTTTTTTTTTCCGGTAGGTAAACAGACTTTACTGTGGTTCTACTTTCTGTGGGTTCTTACACCCGCTTTTCAGAAACACTGAATGTCACCACGTGACTCAAATAACTAAGTCCCTTGCACAGCAAGGCCGACCCTTGGCTCAGGAGTGAGAGGGTAACCAGCGCAAAGGGAGGGCACAGGCCTGGAGGCCGAACCCCCCAGCTCTGTTACTGTGTAACGCGGGTGCAGGGGGCACTCGTGCGGGTACGACCCCCCTGCAGAGCTGGGTACCTGCATCCACGCCGGGGTACAACACCCACCTCTGCAGCTCCAGCGCTCCCAGTGGATCCTTCCCACGGGAAGGGATCCCCACGGAGGCCCATTTGGCGATTTTCCGTGTTTCCAACCCAGAAAAGCTTCACGGGGCGGAAAGGAGAGGAATTAACGTGGTAAAAACACGGGTTACTTGGAAACACGTCGCTGAGGAGCGAGCAAGCCTGGGGCGCTCCCTGCGCAGCGCGGCAGCGCCCCGGCGACGGCAGCCCCCGCTGCTCGGGGAGCGCCCGCTCCGCTCCCCGCCCGCCCCAGGGGCACCGCGGCCGCCGCCCGGGGCGCCTCCCGCCCGCGCGGGGGACGGAGCGAGAAGGAGTCTACGCCGCTAACGGTCGCCAACGGCCGCGCGCGGGGAGCGGGAAAAGGGTGGGGGGGTGGAGCCAGGCTGCTCTCGCGAGAGCTGCGCCGCCGCCCAACGGCCGTTGCGCGCCCGTTGCGGCCCCGCCCCGCGCCCAACGGCCGCCCCGCCCGGCGCTGCCGCATCCGGGTCTTGGCGCCGCTGTCACTATGGTCATGGCGGAGGGGACGGCAGTGCTGAGGCGGAACAGGCCGGGCACCAAGGCCCAGGTGAGGCACCGGCGCCGCCGCCCCGCGCGCGAGGCCGGGGCGGCAGCAGCGGTAGCGGTGCGGGCGGCGCCGCCGCCGTTCTTGCTGGAGCGCGGGCCAGCGCTTGCGGGGCCCAGCGTCCCGGCGAGGCCTTCCCCGGGCAGGCCGCGCTTTGCGGCGCCGCGGGCCTGCCCGGCTCCCAGGGCCCGCCGTTAACCCGTGCGGTGCGCGGCCGGCCGCTGCTGGGTTCCCTGGTGTGCGGGGCTGCCTCTCTGGCACCAGGTGTAGTGGCTGCTCTGACCTACCTCGCGAAACACGTCTCGAGGCTCTCCGCATCCCCGGGTGTCAGAGGCTCTGCGGGGAGGCTCTGCCTCGTCCTCTGCCTGCCCCCCTGGACGTGCGGGGCGCCCTGCCGCTCTTACGTAAGCTGCATTTCTCACCTGAATGAAGCCGGGCCATTTCCAAGTTGCCTGGCCCCATTAACAGGGTAGTCGCTTTATGCGTGTGTTTTCAGGGCGGTTTTGTAAGGAGATGTTCTGGTGAGAAGCAGAGCAGGCCCCGACATGCAGTGTTGTGGGGAAATGCCAGCGTAATAAATCCTGCAAGTGGCTGTCACGCTGTTCAGAGGCAGGAGTACGTTGCAAATCAGCCTGTTCTCTACGTGTTTAATTCCTGAAGGAAAGGGAATATTGTATAACTTGAGTTGGTAAAGTTACAAATATATTATAAAGTTCATATCAGTTGAGAAATATGTTTATATCTTAATAAAACACTACTTTTAGTGTCTGTATTAAAGATGCTATAGTACAGCTCTTCAGTATTGAAGTACAAAGTTAATGATACTTAAACACTGGATATTCCCCATTTTCTGTAGAAATGAGTGTATTGCTTCTGGACCACATTGCTGGTCTTTAGAGTGCAAAGATCTTTCTCAAACCTTTCATTGTGCCCACTGAGGTGGCTGATGTACAGTGATGGACAACAGAGGGGAGGGAGTTGCATTCGGTTTTTAGATATGCAAAATGCAATGCGTGAACTGCCCATTGGGGATAATCCTATTTATGCCATGTGTGAATTTCTGTGGAATATTGAAGTCAGGCAGGCCCTGAGGTGAACCCTGATGAGGTTTTGGTTGTTAATGCTAGTAAAGAGCGCGGGTTAGCACAGCTGAGGAGCAGCCCCTTAAGCAGGATACTGACCATGCTGAAGAGCATAGTGCCATGTTAGGCCAGCGTTCAATTATTTTAGCGTAACGAAAACGTCTGCAGTGGTGTTTTGCTGAAACAGAGTGGTATTTTTTAATACTATTTGTATAATGTTGCTCTTTTACAAAGCTTTTGTCGTCCCCATTCTTACCTGTGGTGTTACACGGGTATTGAATACAAATACTTCATTTAAAAAATGCAGCTTACGCAGGTGTTCAGGGAGGTGTCTGGGAATGGTGATGGTTACAGTATGCAAAGTCAAACGGAGCTTTAACTTTCTTTTCAAGGGATAGTGCTGTGGCACTAGGGAGTGCAAGTGGCATTTTACCCCAAAGTCCCATTGCCGAGTTTGTGTGCTCCTTCTGCTAAGATGTAGCTTCCTGGAATTGTATAAGCTACATCTGCATCTCTTTTCCTGCGCTTTTAAGCATATTCTAAGTAGTCTGCTCACTGTTCTCTGCCTTCTCTGTGTTAAATATGTTTAAGCTTGATTTACCTATTTATTTGTACAGGATTTTTACAGTTGGCCTGATGAATCCTTTGAAGAAATGGATAGCACGCTAGCTGTTCAGCAGGTACTCTTATTTTAAAAAAGGGTGTTTATAAAAATACTCTCCTGAGTTTTGTATTCTAGTTAGAGATGGGGTATGTTGTTGTTCTTCTTCCAATGTAGCCGCACAAGAGAAAATTTTGTAAACACTCTCCACAGATAAATAAAAATAGATAATTGTTAGTTTTATATGCAGAAATCACTGGAATTAACATATCTGATTCCAACAAATCAGATTTAAGAGAATGAGACTGACTGTTTTGTTTTGAGAAAGGTATTAGCAAAAAGCATATAAAATTTACCTGTTCTTTTATCTCTTTTAATTCAAGAAAGGCATTTTTCAGATCTAGTTTTCTTTCACCAGTTTTCTAACCCCCTCTCCTGTGTTTTTTAATTTGTTCATCAATCATTACTTCCCTGAAGTAATTTGGCATTTGAAGGACATTAGGCAGAACAGTAAGGCATTTGCAGAACAAATGCCTTAATCTTTGGGAAAGTCATTCGGAAAGATGTAGTGTCATAAATATATTGTCTTACTATACTTTCAGTAAGATTGAGGTTTTGTTTTTCCTTCCTCTTAGTATATCCAACAAAATATAAGGGCAGACTGTTCCAACATAGATAAAATCCTTGAACCTCCTGAAGGCCAGGATGAAGGTGTATGGAAGTATGAACATTTAAGGTAATAATTCTGTGTGTTTACTGATTCAAAGTTTTATTCCTTGATACTGATGATGAGTCTTTTCAATATAACAGATTAAAAGTAATTTAAACAGAATTCACAGTTTTCACTATTGAATATTTTAGCGTATTAGATTATTTTTCTGATGTCTCTTTCAAAAAAAAAAAACAAGTTTGTGATGCCCTCTAATCTAGTTTTTTTTTTTTTTTCTGAAGAAATAACTGTTTTCAAAAACTGTACTAGCACATTTTAGATATGAAAACACAGCTATGAATTTCCATAGCTCTTTCTTCTAATTTCAGCAGCTAGTCTCTGCTAACTCAGTGTAGCAAAGAAAGCATGCAGGACCATCTGGAGGGATAGTCTAGGTAGCCTGTACCTGAAGGTATTTTTCAGGCTTTGTGTAGGTTTATAGCCTCTTAATTCATCCATGCATTTCTGTTTTGATCTTTATTTTCCTGGCATTGATTTACTATTCTTTTGTCCTCATCCTTCTTCTTATGAGCTTGTCTTAACTTATTCTGTGAAAGTACATTTGATAAAGAACTGTTTTCACTTGCATCTATTATACATTCTGAATTTGCATCCTGTTTTTCTCCCCTCTGTTCTAGAATAGTTTGAATAAATACTTTGACTCCTCAAAAGAAATCAAAAAATGTTTATAAAATTGTAAAGGAAGTATGTTTTAAGAACACCTGTCTGTTTCACCCAGCGAAAATCATCCTAGATTCATGGTCTTTTCACTCAGTGTTTGTCACTTTTAGAAAATATATTCAGATTTACCTTGGAGGGTGGAGGGAGTGAGTTGTACAAATTAAAGAATGCAATTGCAGGTAAACTCTAATGAAAGTCAGCAGTATTTTTCTATTTTCATTGAATTTTATCTCAGTTCCACCTTGATTAAAGAACATTATTTCCAGAAGTCAATCTTTTGATGATTTGGTAGTGGGACTCTTCAGCCACTTTAGCTTGTGTGTGGGAGATGTATTTTAAAAGGATAGAATGATTGCAGGATTATATTTTAAAGAAATTAACTTTCTTGAAGTGTCCTTTTTTTTTAAAAAAAAAACCAAAGAAAAAAAAGGTATATGTATTAAACAATGCCTCTAAGTTTTTGGTCAAGCTCAGTGTCTGCTGTCAGGTATTGTGTTAATTCCTAACATGTATGTCTCTTCAGGTAACACATCAAGGAAAGTATTTTGATGGTATCCTTTGAATATATATATATATTTCTTATCCTGATGGATGTTTTTCCTAAAACAATTGCTTGATTTTGATGCTATGTTCATTCTTCATTTTTAATTTATTTATTTTTAGACAATTCTGTCTTGAGCTCAATGGACTAGCTGTCAAGCTGCAGGTAATTCTTTTCTTGATATTTTTGTATTGGTATCAGAGAAGGAACTGTTCATGGACTCTAAGATGTAATATCAGCTTGCTCATCTTCCTTGTTCTAACTTTATACTCGTAGACTTAAGCAGTGGCTTCAGAAAAGAAGTAAGACTTCTGACAAAAATCATTTTTAGTGGGGAAGCAAGGAAGAAAGGGATTTGAAAAGATCAGATTGTTTTTGCTTTGGGATGCTCTTTCTTAACTGAACTTTTTTTTTTTTTTTTTTTAACAGAGTGAATGTCACCCAGACACATGTACTCAGATGACAGCCACTGAACAATGGATTTTCCTTTGTGCAGCTCACAAAACTCCAAAAGAGGTATGGATATATTTTGTAAAATGCACCGCCTGAGTGATAGGACTTGCTTTTGCAGCTTGTAATTTTATGGGACAACATTACAGACTCAGCAAGCTGACAGCTGGTGTGGTTTAGGAGTACTGCTTCAGGATTTCTTCTTTTGCATTCTGTAGCTGGTTTACAGAAGAGGGAGATGAGGTAGGTTTCTACAGCAGTATCAAAGAGATTTTGCACATTGCCCTTTTTCCTCTCAATTAGTATCGAGACAGTCTGAAACTTGATAGAGTTAGGCTTAGCTGAAGGAAGGCATACACATACGCTGAGAACAGGTCATCTGCTTCAGCTGCCTGCCTTGATGCATGGCACTAGGCACGGAAGCCTCACTCTGGAAGTGACTGCATGTGCCCGTTATGAGGGGAGTTAGTCCTCAAAGGTAATGGACTCATAAAAATACTTTTCTCAAGCAGGTTATTAACATGGCAGTAGCAGTTCACCTGAGAGTGCAGTGACCTTATTTTTGCTCTGATCTCCTATTGGAACTGCTTGATATACCATTTTTCTTTCCTTCAGGAAGGCTTTTATTGTTGCAGTTAGGTGACAGTGCAGTTTATCTCATCCTTGTACTTCACTTTCCAAAATAAGATATCAGTCCTTCTTAAACTTCTTTGTTGAACTTTTGCTTCAGGACTAGCCAAGAGGCCTTCATTTAGACTTGAAGACCAGCCTCCTTCCCAATCCCTACTTTAACCTTCCTTCTCCCAAATGTATTGGCATACAATATATCTTATTTTATGGAGGTATATTGGAAATATTGAAGTTACTCTTCATTCTGGGCAGTAGCTTTACACTTCAGAGCTATGAGTGAATAATTAGCCACATTCTACCTATGCATTGTTCCCATTCAGAGAGAAGAAGCAGTCATACTGGTTATCCCTAAACACATATGGTTAATCTGCTGTTTTCCATTTTGGTAATGGCTATCAGCTAACACCCAGATAGTTTATTATGCAATCTTGAGCAACAGCTACTGAAAATGTACAACTGTTGAGTTGTCTTAAACTGTTGAATGACAAACCACCCAGATCTTCCTGCCCTCTCTGCCCATCCCAGTTCATCCTCACTTTCTTCTTTCCTTGATTTCTGAGTCAGGGTTTATACTAAGCTCTGTTAATGTTTTCATTTTTCTCTGACAAGATAGAAATCACTGATGTATATAGATGCAGGAATTTTCTAAGTAACTTGTTTTGATAGGGTGTTAAAAGGCCCTATCCTCAAAAGGCCTATCCCAAAGGTTTAATAGGCTGTAAAAGAAACGCTCTGGCAGCTTACTTATGTAGAAAACAAATGAACTGCAAAGTATGATTGCTGTTTTTTTTTCTCCCCTCAATATACCTACAATACAGTATACTTAATATGTGGCTTTACTGATGCATAAAATTTGCTACTTGTGCATTTCCATACATTTCCATAGTATGATTCAGTGTTTTCTTTAAACAAGGTACATGACAATATCATGTATGCACTAGTGTGTGTTCACCCTGTCTACTTTTGTAGTGTCCTGCTATAGACTACACTAGACATACCCTTGATGGAGCTGCATGTCTTCTGAATAGCAATAAATATTTCCCCAGCAGGTAAGAGATACTTCTTGGGAAGAGAGAGGAACTGGTGTCACCTAAACATATACAAAATAGAGAAATGCATTAACACATTTTTCATAGACTCCTACTAAGAATAGCAGAACTAGTGAAGTGCAGCACTGTTTTTTCTACAGCCATTTTTATTTTTAAGTCTAGGAAATATTGTTCCTGCCTGTTGAATTAGTTTGCTACTTACTGCAGCAGACAGGGATGGGTTTTTTTTTTTTTGGATGGAGACAGAGTTTTGTTTGTTTTTCTAATATCAGCGTTACTAGGGGCTTTCCATTGACAGAGTGCCAGTCTAAATAACAGGAAAGCCTTTAGAAACATGCAATGACTCAAAGGACTTAAACATTACTCCACTGAAAAGCCTCCAGAAGCCTGTGTAGATCTAACATGGGGTGCTAATGACCACAGAAGACACAGGCTGAAGCCTGCATGTGAGCAGTGCACATGTCAGGCTATGAAAGCGTGACTGGCAGTGTCACGACTGGGCTCCTCTGGGAATCTCACTCCCTTTGCCCATCAGTGCTGGAAATCAAATCCACTACCAGAGTAACTCATAATGTTTCTAAAGTTTAGGCAAAGCCTTTTTTGTAGTCAGAATACAATCTTTAATGTGGAGCAATTCCTTTTGCAACAGTGAGCTGTTGCATTTGCCTGAAACACTTAAATCTAAATTTCACGTGTAATTACTTTGTATAGCTTAATAACCAGATTTTAATTCATGTCAGTATGTATTTCAGTACACCTATATAACTGAATGTTTGTTAACCTTTTTCTTTTCTGACATTTCCAGGGTAAGCATAAAGGAATCCTCCGTAGCCAAACTAGGATCAGTGTGCCGAAGGATTTACAGAATATTTTCACATGCTTATTTTCATCATCGGCAGATATTTGATGAATATGAAGTAAGCTTACTTTTTACTTCTCATCTTAGATGCATGACATATTTTATTTTAATGTTATCAGAATAGCTGCATCTAAATGAAGTATTGATCATAATAAATTAAAGTTCTGTAAGAACTGAAATTCCATGTTGTATGCTGTTTTGGCCTCCAAATTTAAGATTTTTTTTATATGTATCATTTATTTATTTTGTCTAGTTGGCTATGTTTTTTTCTTTGTTTGAATAAAAGGGCAGCACTTACAAGTTTTTATACGGGCAACTCAAATTGATCTTGTTCTAAAAACTGCTGGATGTCTTTAGCAGTTGGTGTAGTTTATACTGCTCATGTGTGTTTCCTGTTTGTAGGCATGTTGCATATACACGCATATACAAGCATTTATATAAACATAAGATAATTCTAAACCCACAAAATAAGAGAGAAAGTAGCATCAGGATAGTGCAACCTCTAGTAACTTCCACCTTTTTTTGACTGAGGAACAGAAATGAATAGAGGGAAATTAATAAAAGAAGTTGGAAGTAAAACAAAACCCCTTGGTAAAACCAGTTTAGAGTGTTTGAACAGCTATGGAAGGAGTTTTGTTATAATTTAAACTCTTCTTTAGGACAGCATTGATACTTGGATATATTGTGGACTAAGTGCTGTTCATAGTAATCCTACTTCAGTAGGATTTCTTTTCTTGCTTACTGCAATAAATACAAGCAAACTCTAAAGGAGAATATATGAAGTTACATGACTTTACCATTTAAGGATTGCTGCTTCTTTCTAACACTCGCAAGTCTAACAAAGCAATTTACATATAGGTATGTTAATATTTTATATGTATATAGGTATGTTCTCAGTTGTTTAAAATATACCTTCTCTGTATATTATGCTTTTTTTAAATTCCCTTCCCACTCCTTTTCTTTAAATCTCCAGAATGAAACCTTCTTGTGTCATCGATTCACCAAATTTGTGATGAAGTATAATTTGATGTCCAAGGATAACCTGATTGTACCAATTCTGGAAGAAGAAGTGCAAAATTCAGTGGCAGGGGAGAGTGAGGCGTGATGGGAATGGTGGCACAGGAGCCTGTACTGAACACATACAAACCATTAATTATGTACTGTATATATCATTTTAGACACTTCAATCACGTATCCTCATAGCTTTGTTTAGTGTACTTTTTTGTATGCTGTGTGCATTGCCTTTTAATATGGGAAATACTTTAAGTTATTCATGAGCTGTATATTCATCAATGTGGCACTCATGGTTTTTAAATAAAAGTAGTAGTATCTGTTTATAATGCCTGTTAATAAAAAAAATTTACAGTTCTCTAAAATTGCTGCTAAACAATCATTGAATCACAATCCTGAAGATGTGTCTGGATGGGAAAAAAGCTTAAGATTTCACAGCAAGCCACTTCTTAAATGCAGTAGCTGTATTAGTCTTAGTTCAGAGTTTATCACCATATATAATTCTGCAAGAAGATCCTTGCACTGTAGCTTATTCCTAATTTAGGTTTTATTAAAAAAAAAAAGTGCTTTTATTTTGAAGACTTAGTTTTGGATGTACATATTCCTGTATAGGTATCTAAGCACTAACAGGAACTATAGTATTAGAAATACCAAAAGCGTAACTTCACTATGCTGTTGAACGTGTATTATTGCTATGTCTGACACTCTTTCTGGACATTTTTATAACACTAGAGACTTGTGCACTCGAGAAGGGCAGCAGCTCTGTCCTTTTACGGTATTCTCTTCTGTTCTGTTGTCCACAATTTCTCTAAAGAGTAAGTGTGGCAGAAAAAGTCAATGGCTTAATCCTGTGCATATGTATGGCAACTGCTTACAGATTATACCTCAAATAAATATTCATATGACACTACATAACACGCTAGTGTAGTCTTTGCTTGTATTCCTAGCAAAAACACTCCAAATAATACTTGAAAAAATGAACCTGAGTCATTGCAGTAGTTAATCTGTGTCACTTATCTTTCATCCATTCACCTGAATTATGCTTTTCAAGATACAAAAAAAAAAAGGGATGGATTTGTACTTCTGTTCCCCTTGAAAGGTTTATTTCTGTTTGCAGATTTGCAATAACTGACAATTTCCATGAGTGCTGCTTAATTATATGTCTAAAATGATAAATGTTTTACTTAGAGCAGACATACTGCTAAGTGTGGATGAATGCAGGGTCTAAAAGCACTAGCAATGTTCTTATGTAAAATGATTTTTTCTTAGCTGTTTAAAACTCTAAAAGGTTAGCCGGGCTCTTTCTGAGAGGTTGCTGGGGCCCTCTTACCTGTTTAATTGACCAATGAAGCTAGGTTCTGCAAGCTACACCTTGTCTCAGGATTATCTGCGAAAAAGGAAGTCCACCTATTTTTAAGGAATCTTTTTTTTTCCTCATATACTGAACATGCCTTAATTTTGTTTTTAAAGCAAATCAAACACACCTCAAGCAACTGTATCACCTGGATGAACAGGGAATCTAAGCAATGAGAGAACAGAGACTAGGCTTACAACCTATTCAAACAGCTGTACTCTGCAGCAGCTTTATTTCATGTTCACCATGATACTAATTGTAAATGGGATAGTTGCATGAAGTGAAAGTAGCTTTAATTATTGTTTATGCACTTAGTTATGATTTACCTTGTATAGACTAGGTGACTTTAACAAATATTTTGAAGCTTGTTTGGCAGGTAGGAGGATGGTATTTTTTGAGGTAGTAAAGTGTGTTTAGTTCTCTTACAGTAGGACCATCTGTAGTGTGGTTCATTTGTACAGTCACTCTGCACATTTAAATTGGCCATGGTGACTGAGACAGGCAAAAAGGTGTAACACATTGCTAACTGCATTTACTCCTAAGAAACTGAAGTGCTGCTCAGGACTGCATTAAAATTTTAAACCTCCTCTTCTTCTGCTTTAAGAGGTTCACTTTAAAACAAAACTCTGGAATTTTAATCCTGTTTTTCTTGTTGAGATTTGCACTGTAAAGTTGACTTGCAATACTGTCCATGCTGAATATATATATATATATATATATAATACACATACATATACAAGGCCTAAGTGAATCACTGCTTGTATTTTCCCTTTTTATTTTTTAACATGAGTACTGTGTGCACACGTGTGCCTGAATGGTACCACAAAACTTCAGTGAGCCTAAGCAAACCATTAATTTGTCAAGTAAATATGTTAACATTCATTTACATAAAAGGGAGACTGTCTTTGAATGATACTGTACAAAAGAAAAACCAATGAGGTTAAAATTAAACTGCTTCTTTAACTATACCAGTATATTTTGATAAATGATTCTCACTTTCCATCTCGTCCGAGAATGCTGCAACTGAATGCTTCTGATTCTGAAGTCCTCTGCTCTCCTGTCTCTGCTATGAGGTGTATGGCCATTGGATTTCTGCTTTCCAAAGTGAAGAAAGGTCATGCTTATTGAAGTTTGAAATCAGACCCCAAGTTTATACTTGACTCAGCATTCAGAAAACACTGGTTCTAGAATTTTTAATTTTGCGAGAATTTCTAGAAAAGGAAAACCCAAATAAATACGCAAAGCGCACACATGTATGCAAGGGCTTGCTGTAAGAAAAGGATAATTTTTAAGTGACTTCTTCCTTAGCCATCACTGTTTCTCCTGATGCTTGGCTTGCTGTATCTTGCCAGTTAGCTGCAGTAATTTTGCTACTTCCCTTTTAAGAGCTGAATTCTCTTGGGTGTTGTCATAGTTTCTTCATCTGGTTAAGCAGAGGAGAATATGTCACCAGACCAGTTTCTCTACACTTTCAAGTTATACTTACCTGTAGTTAAGTGCATTCACTTTTTTAATTGATACCAATTGTTCAAATTCTCTTTCAGGAAAACCTACATCCCAACTAACACTTTAGCCATATTAAGCCATAGGGAATTGTAGAAACAGTGGCTTAAAGCTGATCAGCTTTTAATAGATGGTTGTAAATGTAATAACTCTGCCTTGTGTGCCATATGTCCACATGTATAATTCTCGTGCAGTACACACTAGTAGACATGAGCAGGTGGATTTTGGTTTCTCTGATTTTTGCAAGATTGACTTCACTTTGATTTTTGAAAGAGAGAGGCTCCGCAGCAGGAAAATATTCCCTCTCTCAGCTATAAACTCACAGTGGTTGTGTTCAGTTCCAAAGAACTGGTGCTTACAAGAAAGGTAACAAAGAGGACAAATGTGCAGTCAATCATACCAACTTCTGCAGCCTCCAACGGGTTCCAATTCAGTGACTTACAGAGGGAATAAAATAGACTTTTTTTCACTTCTCAAATCCACGTGGTTTTAAATAGAGTGTCCCGTGGCAATGAGCTCTTCAGTTCACTAAATAAAGAAGCCTCTTTTGTTCTAAGCCTGCTACTCACCACTTTCACCATTTCCTTGAGTTCTTATATGAAAAAAGAAAAGCTGAAGAGTTTATTCCTTTGCTACCCACTCACTCTTCTGTCAGATGGCTGTTTTTTCCAGGTGGAAGAACAGTATTTTATTTATTTTCCATACAGAGCTTAAGTGTAGTAGCCCTGTGGGGTGAAAGACAACAGACAGCTAGGAAAACAAGTTGGATTAATGTTCTAACAGTGGGGGCAACTTTATATGCTGCATCTAAGATAAACGGCATTAAAAAAGTCAGATATCTTTAACTATAGAGGAATTACTGAATGGTTTAGAAGATGCAATTTAGCATTTATAGACTCAGATTGGAGAAAAAAACCACAGCAATTTCATTCAAAGCCTTATGAGATTCAAGGGGCAAGGACTAAAGTACAAGTAAACTTCTGTATACTGAAAAGGAATGTGATTTTAATTGAAATGAAGAAGGAGAGCCTGTCTTCCTAAAACTGGGGATATCCTCAAAGGTACCTATGTACATTCATAGCACACACAATTTCTAAGTAGTCTGTTGTTGCAATATGCAATATGTTGCTAGTGGGTACCCTGCCAAGTATACGGCAAAAAAAGCCTCTTTAAAAGCATGTGGATACTACTTGACTTGATACTCTGGCATTCTTTACAGCCATACATACAGATATGATGTAAAAAAAAAAAAAAGAAGTTAAATTATTCTTGTTATGAGATACATGTATTCTAGAAAGATTAACTGCATTTGACTTAGACCTTTGTATTATAACTTACTGCATTGTAACCTTGTCTTTAGTTAGAGTCTAGTTGGATTCACTAGCGTTTGAGTGGACAGTGAGGTGGATTGGGAACTGGCTGGCTGGCAGAGCCCAGAGTGTGGTGATAAATGGGGCCGAGTCCAGTCGGAGTCCTGTGGCCAGTCGTGTCCCCCAGGGATCACGTAGGGCAGAAGGGGCCAAACTCTTCTCCGTGGCGGCCAGTGACAGGACAAGCAGCAGTGGGCACAAGTTGAAACCCAGGCAGTTCCTTCTCCGGGTGAGGAGGAACTTCTTTGCTGTGAGGGTGCCCGAGCCCTGGCACAGGCTGCCCAGGGAGGCTGTGGAGGTTCCTTCTCTCTGGAGATCTTCCAAACCCACCTGGATGCGACCGGGTGGCCTGTGCTCTGGGTGTCCCTGCTGGAGCAGGAGGCTGGACTACATGATTCCTAGAGGCCACTTCCACCCCTAACCATTCTGTGTTTGCTACGTTAAGACAGGATACTCTTTGTAAGAGCTCAGTAATATTTTTGATATAATAAAAAATGGCATAAAATAAATTAAAATAAAAAAGAATCAACCTAGGAATACTCAAGTTTTCAATTTTCTTGACCGTTTGCTTTGCACAGAAAGTAAGAAGCAATACTCAAGTCCCTGCATGCGCGCACACACACACGTACAAAATGTGACAATAACTTTTTTGATAACTTAGGGAAAATACTTTTGGAAGTGGAGCAAGATATTCCAGTTTGCACAGCAAGACCAGCTATCCCCTCATGTCACACATGCTAAACGCAGTTGGTTTTCCAACAGAGACAGACCGTGTCCTGCGCATCACGCACCCACCACTGCAGCTATGCCAGCAGCATCCGCCACTCTCAGCCCCGTGGCATGTATGTGGCCTTAAAACTGTCACATGCAGAATTATTTTGCTGGGATGCCAGCTATTTTCCTAAGAAAAAAAGAAAAAATAAACCGAGGTAGTAGTATGGTGGTGCATGACTTGCTTTTGCTTATTGTGGCAAAGGTAACTTTTGTAAGTTACAATTCTGATTTGTAATCCCCTTTCTCTTCTGCACACTCATTGTCTGAAGCTTCTTCTGACTTTCTTCTATTCAAACTTGAAATTACTGTTAGTCAAAAGCAACTTCTTACAGGCAGTAAGTACGTTCCAGTACTTTGTGTGCGGACGCATCCGACCTGACAGTAAAGCTGGAGTTCCTCTCTTGTTCCTGCTTTTTCCCCCAGCTACAGTGGCAGAGCAGCCTAGACAGAAATTCGGTTATCACAGAATGCAGTTTCAAGAGAGCAGCACACAAATAACTGCTGTTGAGGCCTCCCCTGCAGACCTGCGTCAGCGCTAACCTCTCGTGGCACCAACACCCCTCCTCGCTGTGACCACGGGACACGCAGCAGCTGCAGCATCTCCTCTAAACATTATTTTAAAGCTTAACACAGTTGCATATACTTTTATCCAGTGTAATATACATTTAGCTAAGGAAATTTGTATATCTACATCAGAATATTGGTATATAATTTGCCTGCTTCTTCCCTATGCCTGTCCCTTGCTGTCGGTCCTTCCTTCCTAGTTTTTCATACCGCTTTTTTTCAGGCAATGCAAGTTATCTTTCTGAGGGCGAGTGGCTCCTGATTTCCCCCCGCTCAGGAGTAAATGCTGAATACATCATTGTATGAGCTAAATGCTGGAAGAGCTTTTGACTTTGGTGTACCAGAAACATCCTGCAGGGTGGAATTAAATTACAGGAGTATGCATTTGCCCACAACCTCCCCGAGGTTTCCTGTACGCACCAAGTCCAAACATAACTTAACTTGTTAACTCTCTAGCATAAGACTGACATTTCTTTTCCCTAGGCTTTTGAATTTAGACAAGGCAAGTGCATTGAAGGTTATATTGAAAATTAAGGACAGACAGCTAGTTCATTTCTATATTTTTTCAGCAATATTTACAACATCCTTTAAAAAAATACCTCCAAAATGCGCAGCATGCCCATTTCCATTCTCTCTTACAGAATACAATCCGTCACTGGTTTGCAGCATTTGCTTCCTTGCTTGTCCAAAGCATTAACAAAGAAGTTAGGAGAGCACCCAGGCATGTAATTATTCTACTAAGAGACGGAAAACCAGTATTTTGCACTAGCATTATTACTACAATAGGATTAACACAACAAAGAACAAAAATATAAAAGGAGGCGGGGAAAAGTCATAGGATTATATCAAAGCATTGAAGTAACAGGATAAAGTTTTTGTTTCTCTTTTAAACATTTGTGAGGATTATGTACAGGTCCAGCTGATGCAATTACTTACATTATCACATACACGTGACCTGAGTGACTCCATCTTCCTGGTCAAATTGTCCATCATCTATTTCCCTTAAGACTCCATCACTGCTACTGAATCCTGGAAAGCCTCCATACTGGGAAGATCCCTCCTTGATCCAACATTCTTTAGAAGGAGATAGGTGAAACTCTTCAGCTGCTTGGCCCATTTCTACAGGGTGAGAAGTAGCTGTGTCCAATCCAACGCTTCTGCTAGAGGTTTTGCCTTTTTCCTCCCTGGTAACCTGCCTTAAGGATTTCTTCTGAAATAAAAGGGAATGTTTTACTGTTAGCTTTTACAGACAAAAAGGTGATTTGCAAAGGCTACAGGCTCACACATGGAACAGGATGGGACGGGAGGGAAACCGGAGCAGGGGAGATTCGTGTAGGGCAACACTTAAAAGAAAAAGCAAGCTGACAAAACCAACTTTGTACCACGTTTTGGCAAGTTCTGCCTCCTTTCTGCACATTCACACGTTTTCTCCCAAGCCCTCCTAGAACAGTGAAAACAATGGCCCCTTTTGGTAAAAGGAAACTTATTGAAGGGAAGCTGTTACCGGAGGGAGACACTGGGAAACTGGACTAAGGGGAAGCAGCGCTGCCTCGGGAGGAACGGAAGGAAACAGGCCTTGCCTGGATGCCAAAATAAGAGGATAGAAAAAGCTTGTCCAAAGAAAACACACAAAACAAATACCATTCTTTATTATACTTTTTTCCCCTATAAACTCTGTATGTTTTAATATACTTATATATGTATATTTTATATCATATAATTAACATATATAATAATAAAGAATGTTTTCAGATTCCCATAGCTTATTTTATAACTGAAATCAAGCTGTTTTGTGCACAGCTGGCATGACAAGCTACATTAGTTTGGTATTACTAAGAAATCTATTAATTTAAATTTTACTAGAGGCACATGCGCCTTGTGAATTCAGAGATTAATTTTATTTTGCTTAAAAAAACAGGGAAGTTAAAAAAAAAAAGAAAAAAAGGAAATTTAGGGAAAAAGTGACGTAACTGGAGAAACAGAAGGAAAATGTTACTCTGCAAACATTTCAGCTCCAGCCTCATAAAATGACCTCAGTGGACTCAGATTTCTTGCTAGAGAAGAAAGACATTCAGTGGTACTTGAAGAGGCATATTTAGGTACTAAGTCTGTTCACATTTTAAACACAGTAATTCTGATGCAAGCAGCTAAAAATCAGGTCTTAATATATTATATTAAGAAAAAAAAATGTCCAAAGTCAGGCATGAAAGCAAGGGGTCAGAGTTATTAACCTGGTGCTGGACATGAGTGAAAATGCCCATGGTTTTCATAGCTCCTTAAAAAGTCTATTGCAGAAGAGCACTCTTGGTTAGAAAAAGGTTGAACTGCCACTAAACCCCAGCAATAATAGAAGGGGATGTGGAAAGATTTGGCGAAGGGAAGTGCTCCAGCTCATCCTCTCCAGGCTCAGCAGAGCTGTCTGCTGTAGCCTGCACACAGGTGCTGAAATAGTGTCTTCTTTCTCAGGTGGAACAGATGCAGGATTTGCATCAATACCTTTAAGCTTTTACTGAGAACTTCCAAAGAAATTCTTACAGTATAGCCAGTCGTATCCACTAAGGAACTAGCCACTTCTTAGAACAAAATACTTTAATCAACAGGTTTTATTATGCTTGTGCTTTTGTTCCCAAGTATGTATCACATAAATCTATGTAGCTGAGAAAAAAAAATGTAGAACTGTCAAGAAATCCTGAGTTCAACTACAAACTTGACTTGATTTCCTCACATGTAACCCTGGCCGATATTGCTTTTCCATTAATTCCGAGACCTGTTTGGTATCTATAGGTGCAGTCCTGGCTTTTTCGTAGCACCACCACTGCCACGTTACTCACCTCCGGTGTCTGGACTGCCGAATTCCACATGACAGGTCTCTGAAGAAAAACAACTTGCTTCGTGGCCAGATTTCCTTCACTGCAATTTGAAGAATATTTTTGAGTGCATCTCAAAGGCAGTAACATTCACTTTAATGTATTTATACTTTTACAGTCAAGTGTAAATTGTGTGTACATGAGGTCGCGTATACTGTGAAAGCTTTGGAGCCATATGGCCAAAATGAGTACATAGATCTTGCTTTATGTCCCCACGGGGGCTAGACGTGTCCCCCAACAAACCCCACTTGGGGATGAGATTTGGCCCTTGCAATCTCCCTCACCTGAAGTGGGTTGCAGTTTTATTGTATGACAAGGAAAACTGGCGACCTTGCACCTTTATTCCCCCGGGGTAAGCACGAGCCCTCCACCCACATCAGTGCAGGGGCCTCTCTCAAGCCAGGGGACTCAGCAGAGCCTCTGGCCGGAGCCGTGGCCTTATTTTGTAACAGCGGCTGCATTCCTGGGGAGAAGAAAAGAGGGGGAAAAGCCCCAAACGAAACAAAGCCAACGTTAGGCTTCAGCTCGTGCAAATTCTGCCAGAAAGGACACGACGGCGAGCAGACAATAAGTAAATTACCAATTTTGTAAGTCTGACCTTATTAAGATGCAGCACATGACAAGGTGGCTGTGAGTTTAATTCACAAAGTGGTGAATGTCAGTGGGATTTCCACTGAATTTAAATTGAGAAAAGCCTTGGAAGGAGCCACTTGGTGGCCTCCCTCCCGCTTCCAAACTCAGTCTTTGCCTCCAGCGTCACAGCGTTTGGGAAACTTAGATTTGGCAGTTTGTGATGAGAAACTAACCATCACAAAGCCGGGAGCTTTGCACTGTATTCGTTTGCTTTGCAGGGCTCGTAGGAAATCTGGCTGCCTGTTTTCTGTGGGGCTACAGTAATCAGGAAGGGGAAATAAAGAATATTCAGAATAAGGATGCTGAAGCCCTTTTCCTATCACTTCCAAGGCACTCAGTCCATGGAAATCTGAAACTTGGAAAGAATTCTAATTTTAGATCAAAAACGCGTCTTAAATTCTAGAAGCTTCTGCTATCTTCATGTTAATAATGTGGCACATGAAATTACTAAAAGATTCCCTAACGTTCTAATTTTCCGTTGCCAGATTTAATTCCAGTTAATGTTATCCTAGCTACAGGCCTCCTGAACTTGACATAATCGTTATCAAATATATGTGTCCAATAAACTCGTCTTGAACGTATTTACCTGGTAAATTAGAGCAGTATATAATGCATGAGACTCCTCAGGACACTTACTATATTTTCAAAATAAAGGTGAGTCATTCTTGCATTCTTATTTGGCCTCAAAAGAAGCTTTTAGAATAGCTTCTTTCATGACTGCTGACAAAATTTAAGTATCCAAGCTATGCACAGATACAGCAATTTCTGCATATTTTTCAATGCTCTATTTTCTTGTACCTTTGAAAATATATAATCACTGACAGAAGAAGACAGGGAAATTAAGAGAAGGGAACCTAAGTCCATTTTAAAATGAGCTGACTGAAGAACCCAAGAACCACAAATGCTTATTTTTCAAACAAGACCGCACAAAAGAACAAAACAAAAAAAACAAGAAGAAAATTCTGAATGTCTGAAGAGTATGACCGCTACTGTGGCTCTATTTGTAAATGCAAAGATGGCATTTCTTAAGGAAGCGTTCCCATATTCCATGTGGTTTAGGCTGTGAGGCAGGAGTTGAAGGCTAAAACAGGCCTAGGGGCTCTGGTCTGTGTACGGAATGAGGCCCTGATCTATGATACTAGCTACCACATGGCAGGACACTCCACACAACAAGACATTTTATTTTGTGAAGAACAGCTGTAAAAAAAGAGGAAAAATTTTAAATAGAAACAACAACATTTCACAGGGACAGGCTTTAAAGCACAGCCTGTTTCCTAACGCTGTTGAAAAAAGAAGAAAAAAGGAATACTAAATGCATGACAATTCTGTCACACCCCAGAACCTGTTAGCTAATCCAGGTCATATGATGGTTCCAATAAATGCAGTAACACTTGAGAGTCATGTTTTTTTTGTCTGCAGACAAGTAATGAGTACAATGGCTAAGAAGAGATCCTAGGAGATCTCAGATTAGGAGATTTAGCTTTGCAAAAAATTAAGAGAAGAGTAAGACAGAAAAAAAGGGGGGGAATATAAAGGAAAATAACAATGGTGAGCAAGCTGTCCTACTAGCAGTCCTCTGATTCTTAAATAGACTTATTATGTATACTGAACTAATCATTTTTAAAATAAATATGAAAAAGGATAATTTGTCAGAACTTCCCCAAGAAATTGTGCATTACTGACAGAAGAAAACGGTAACTGTGAGTGGTTTTGGTAGCACGGTCTATCAGACAGTGTTTCTGAAGCCTGTTAATATTCAGCCTGGGTTTTAGGGTCACAGTTCAAAGTCTGGGAACGAACAGCTGTTAGCAGCATAAAATGCCCTCTTTTATTCCGACACTGAACTTGCATTCTTAGCATCATCTACCACCACAGGAATAGCATCTTTCCTATCAGACACAGAGTAACCACCCAAGAATTTCTTCTCTTCCTTAAATACCAACGTTAACGCCTAAAAATAGTACTTTCCAACCACTAGGCAGACTGCCGGTACAAAAGCATGTTCTTCTGAGTCTTTCAGGACTTCTTAACCTTTCTTAACCTTCCCTTGTTCGTGGGCTTTTTTCAAGATATCTGAAGAGATATATATGTTAGATAAACTATAGACACACACATAATAGATGATTTGCAGTACTTCCTCTAAAGGTACCTCACAAGCCATTCAAAGACAAGAGCTACTAGACATCATGCACAAATGCCCACCCAAATAAATGCTTCATTTTCATCTGAATTATGCTAGCATTGCAGTAGAATGAACCCAACTTCTGATCCGGCCAGGATTTGGCCCTTTTCACACTATCACAGCTCGTGACAGGTTGCTTTTTTTCCTGTTTTATTCAAGGTTGTGCCTTCAGCCTTCTCAGTGGCAAGTCACCACGTCAAAGCTAACACTCCTAGACAAAGATATTTGTGGGAAGAAATTAATAAAAGGACAACTACTTTGTCTTGTGTTGTAAAAAATGCTTTGTTGGAGTGGGGGCTTTACCAAATGTAAGTTCAGAATTTCTTATCTTTCAAATCAAAATGCACAGAGACTCTTCAAATAGCAAAACACGTCACGTGCTTTACCACTATTCCTTGTTTCTTTGATTTTTGAGCAACTAGTTAAAATCAAATATAACACCTCCTCCCACCCCACCTCAGAAAAGACTGTATCAACCTTCCAAATCCATTTCCCGACCAGACATACTCCTTTCTCACATGGATGAGTTGATTTCATTATGTCAGCTCACTTGAAGGAAATTCCATTTTCCTGGAGCAGTTCTTTTGGAACCCTCCATTCACATCCTTTTTATGCTATCTTGACTTAATACAGTAGGGTCTGGATCCAAAGACTACCCAGAAGTCACCCAGTGTCTTATTCTTTGTCTTTAATGAGCCTTAAGTCATGCCTCAGGACACTTGCTTGGTTTTAAACCTTGGCAGCCTTAACCTGATGGAAGCAGAGTTTAAAAACCTGTGTAAATGTAATCCAGTAATTCATTTGTGCCTTCTTAGACTGGTACTGTAAAGAGCACAGTACTTTGTTGTTGTTCTCCAAATAAAGTGAAAGTTTGGAACACTACAGGGACTGAGGCCTGTTAAAATTAGCTTTTCCTGTATACATAAATCTCCCAGACACCTAAAGAAATATCACAGTGAGAAAATAACAGAACTGAAATCTATTAGTTTGCTACTGTATTTAAGATGACATATGATGTCTACATTACAGAAGAGGAGAAACAGCTCAGTAACTTGCTGGGTGAGCACATTCTGCTCCCTCATTTGCAGTAAGCAGTGCATGACTGTCCTGTGACAGCACTGCTTCTTCTCACATGGTCTGTAACAGTCATTCACCCAGGTCCTGCTTTCGTGAAGCACTTCAACATTTACTTGAAACCTATGAGCAATCCCATTGCTGGCCCATTACGTGGAACTATGGCAAAAAGTTTCCTAAACAAAATAATTATCGAGTTTGGACATAAACAGCATATTTAAAATTGAGGGTTACTAGTCTAGTTTGAAACTCACTGAAGTCAACTGTCCTAAATCAACCTGTTAACAACTGCAGCATAATGCTACTTATGTCTCAGATTTTATATGCAATTAACACTGTTAACATTTTTCCTTCTCTGTTTCAATACCAAAGGGGAAAAAAAAAAGGTCACTTGGTAATTCTCTGAGATGTCTAACTTAGGGCATACACAGAAGTGCTGTAGTCTGCTCTTTGGTACCTGTCATGTCGTACAATAGGTGTAGGCAGGACACAGGTCAGAAGCCATCCAAACTCCGCCAGCGTGTGCAGTAACGGTCCGTAATCTGTTTTAATTTCACATCCCTACATTAATAATCATAAAAAGTAGTAAAGACACTCTGCAGGTTTTATTTATGTTTCTATACATAAATTAAAAAAAAAAAATCACTCATTCATGCCAATAATCTTGTCATATTCAAATACTAAAGAACACTAAGATAACTTTATATTATGGCACTAGATATCACAATGTAACCTAAAAGAATAAAACCCAAAAGTTTTACTATGAACACATCTGAAAACTATATGTAATTTATTCACTATCGATTTCTACCTGCTTAACTTCCAGTTGTTGCTATTTTCTTCCTCCTTTTACTTAAAATCACTTCAGCAGCAGTTTAGCTCACCTGGATGGCCTCAAGAAACCATCCCACGTGTTTATGGACATTCATACAAATATTCGGACAACAACAAAATCAGAAGGAAATTACATTACTGAATAGTCACCAATTTACCTCAATAACCGTCCATTGTTCAACAACGATTGCGTCATTTCCTTTCCTGATAGAACCTGGAACTCCAGACCCTTCTTCTTCATAGATAAACAATCCTTCTAAAGACCTGGGCACGTGGTCCCCTGCGGAAAGAAGGATGAATGTAAGCTGGAATATAAAATCTTATGGTTTAGGATCTACACATCAGCTAATATTTTCTCATGGAAAAGTCCTCTAAACTAAAATAAGCTGAGACAGCAAATCATCAAATTGCTCAGATTCATAGCATTTCATTCCTGCATCTAGTTACATCTTCATGAACTATGTAAGTTGTATGACACTCTATGACACACTATGTATTATTCAAAGTCCTTTTTTTCTTTTTTTTTTTTCTTTTCCCTAGAGGGGCTGTGTTTTGCACCCAATAGGGGTTTCCTTTTCTCCAAAGCATTAGCCATTTCCATGCTGGAGTCTGAATTCAGGTTTCCCATATTCAACACATCCCCTGCAGCACACAAAAGCTCTCTGGTGTCATATCCCTCAAGATCAATGTGGCTTCTGGTGTGGGGGGACAGAAGTGCAAGATAAATGAAGCTTAAACTGCAAAGTCTATCTGCAGTTACTTGAATAAATACATGAACGACCACAGGGAGAGCCTGAGGCAGGATTTGTAGGAAGGTTCCTGAAAGGAAGGAAGTTTCCAAGCACACCTCCCTGACTTACTTCTTGTGCAAGTTTGACAATATCCAGGTGGCCCAAACTAAAGCTGTGCATCGCCTGCTGGTTCATTTTCTGGCTCAGCATCTCCTAAGAACCATGTGGAAGCCTTTTGTGCAGTGGTACCTCAAGAGCTGACTATCTTAAAGACTAAAAAGAAAAAAATAAACTAAATTTAAGCAGAAAAGCTAAGTAATCCTCTGAATATCAGATTTACATCTTCTCGAATATGCCACAAATGTGAAGAGAAGACTGTACTGGCCACAGGCTCAGGTGAAGGGGATCGTGTTAAAAAACAGCAGTGAAAAAAGGCAAGCAAGCAAACAAAAGCTTGGGAGCACCACTGGCCTGGTGATCAAATAGAAAATGCCCAGGCAGGCACAGAAGTTCCTTAAATAAGCCAGGAAATCCAGTATCTTGAATATATCTCTGCTAATATGAAATACTGAGTATCTACTTAGGCTATTTTTTTCATATTCCTTCTTATTTTTACTGTAATACACATAGCAGATTTATGTATTTTGAGATTATTATTTAAATACTTAAATGTGTATTTGCCTCCTTTGCATATTTATAGAGATATTCGGCACGTTATTTTATTTTTAGAGTACACACAAATATAAACTGATTGTATATGAAGCTGAATATGTGACTTATGAGTATACTTACTGTTACAAATTAATGGATTTGAACTTTTCTTCACCTTGCTGGCAGACACTTACAACAGGAAGTCAAGCTATAGAGGTTTTGACTATTTCTTTTCTTTCATTCTAACATGATTAAATAACTAAATTTTAAACAATTACTGAAATAAGGCATCTCCACTCAGAAGCATTTTAAGAGGAAACGTTTGTTAATAAAGTGTCTCATGTCCAAATTATCCCTCTTGAAAGCCTTACAGAAACTACATGGGATACCCAGGTCCGTTCTGTTGAGGGCACTTCTTTGTCCTTGTTAATATTAATTCTCCAGCCAAAAATATTGTGTTGCATCTCTATTGCTGCTTAAATTAATTAGTTACCTTTATTTTTATTTAAGCAATGGTTAAAATGTGCTCCTTTTACTGAAATATATAGGATAATGGCTGCTTTAGACCACATGAAAAAGAAAGGAACAGAAGCAAGGTGACGCTTGGAGCTGCAAACACACCCACAAGAAGGATAATTATGGCAGCGAATATAAACCTTGAAGTACTTTATCTCCACCCAAAACATTTGTAGGGGTCCCTCCATTGGATGGAACATTTTAGCTGGTTGTAAAGCTCTTCCACATCCATCTCATGGACAAATATTTTAGCTTATGGGCAACTCAGCAGCTCTGAGGCCACCGACATCAGCTGCAGAATTCCTTGCACACACAAGGTTGTGCCTCCAACTGCATCTATTTTCACCCAGCAACGTTACACCCACAGCTCTGAAGTATGTTCCTGGTGAGCGGGGCTGAAGCAGAAGCACCAGCTGCTGGGAAAAGGCAGCACGAACCCCCCAATAAATCATCCCTTGGCTATGAAAGAAGGGATAGCTCCTCACACAGCAAAGAGCAGACAGCTCCAGGGAATGGCAAGACTGCTGGACAACAGCTGCAGGGATTACTTTCAACAGCTGCTCATAACACCCCTCAGTGCATTTTAAGGCATCTCCAGAGAGTTATTTGCTAGCTCTAAAAAAAAAAAAAAGCTGTGTTGAAAATTCAATGCCTGATTTCTCACCTCTCCCCCCGCAAGGAAGCCTTTGGAAGGAAGTAAAATCTCGGAGCGAACATGAAGGTGGTCAATACGAAGTGGGCCATTAGACTATGTACATGCACAAAATATGCACCGTCAGAGGAATTTGCTGGCCAATTCCACCTGATGCAAATATACTGAAGTTGCTGCAGTTCGTCCACAGATTCTGATAACTATGTTGGCATAGAGTGGCAGGAATGTAGTGATTCTCAGTATTTTTAAGGTTTGATTTTTAAAAGAAGCCACATTATCTAACTTTCATTTTTATATGTATATTTAAAACATTTTTTCTTTGTTTTGAACCCTCCTTTAACCCAAGCCTTGCAGAGAGTACGCAGAAATATTATTTTTAATCAGAACATGGAAGAAAAGCATAAAGATATTGCTATAAAAAGAAGGAAAAGAGTCTTCACAATTTGCCATCTAAAGTACTGCTCTTAAAACTCCAGTATCTTCTCTTTTTTTTCAATCAGAAAGCCAGAATACTCCTTCAAGCACAGGCATCTATTGAAAGAGTCTGTCGTGAAGCAATCAGGACCACAAGGGGAGATAACACTGCAAAAGCATCACAAGAGCCTTTGCTTTTCTCATGATTATAAACTGCAAGGCAATTATGCCTAGCACCTAAATATAATTTATCATTAAATATAAGAAAATACAATAGCCAAACATGAGTATTTCTAGCTTCACGATATAATCCATGTACAAATCAAGACCACCAGCAGAAAAGATGTATTGCATTACAATGTTACACTGCTTTTCTGTTTCAGAAGTCCTGAATTTAAGAAAAAGCAGTAGAAATTTCAATTATTCAAAGCTACAGCTACCCAGAAAAAGCTTTATTTCCTGATCAGGTATCTGATTCTACAGATTTGCAATGACTACCTGACCATGCTTAAAGTTTGCTCTTCAACCTATAAGAAAACACATCACTTTTGCAAAATAAGTAGATCTCTACCAATAAGTAAAACCCCCAAGATATTCAGCAATAATATTTACCTTTTGATGTCTCCCAGTGCACAAAAGAATCAATTAAGGCCAATCCTTGTTTATAGTAAAATGTGGTTAGTTCTAGCCAGTCTGCCTCCAGTGTACTGACAACAGATCCCTTTCTTGTAACTTTCATGGACAAAAGGCCCTCGTGATATGTCCAGCAGGTAGAATCATCATCAAAAACATTGAAGACTGTATATAGCTTATCTAAGAGGAAAAAAAGAAATAAAATGGTCAAAAAAATGATGTTCCAGAGAGAGTGTTCAATAATAAATGTCTTTTGTCTTTTTTGCTTTTCTCTGCTTCAACCCAGCACCCTAAACAGCAGTTCCAAAAATTGCTTCCTGATGAAGCATTAGTGTTAGTCTGAGTTCTTAACTTACTCAAGAAGGAGGGATGGGGAAATGCTCAGGAAGAGAAGAAAAATTTGAACGTGCTGCTGTAGGGTTGCATTAGACCTCACGGGAGGTGAAGGTTACGTGGTGAAACTATAGCAGATGCAAGAGAAAACTCAGTGAAAACCAACTTCACATTTCTGTTGCTCAGCAAACTTCTGGCTACCAATATACTTAACTAAGCGAAGGTGAAAGCCAATTTTCTGAGTTTTAAACAGTAGGAGTTTTGTGTAGAGCAATAATTTGTAGCCGTAACGAGGCATGTTACATCCAGCATCAAATGTTGAACTCTAGCAGCAAGCAATGCCTTTCCTATCTTCCCGCAGGTTTATTGTGCCCCCTCCACAGACTGTTATATTGGCATTTATCAGCAAATTGCCTCCTCCAGCTGTAATTTTTATGGTATAATTAAATAATTTAAACTCATGTCTTATTACCCCAAAAATCTGGCACTCAGGCACCCATTGTCCCTTGCTTCTGAGTGCAGGCTCATGCAGACAGGTCAGACTGATGTGGCAACACAGACCCACGTGCATATAGCTCCCTCCTTTTAAAATTCACAGCAGCGTTTTTTAAAATGGTCATCAAACATTTACAAAGCAAAGAGGGTAAATTTTCAGAAATTGTTTGATAAACTCCAGGAACCTTCCTGAGCACTTAAGCGGGAGCAGGGAAGACAGGCACCTTCCTGTCAAAAACCTCCCGAGGGATTTCCTGACAGCCCTGCGGTTTGGAAAGGGGCTGGTTGATCCACCTGGTTACACCAACAGGTCTGGACAACTTTCTGTGCAGAACCAGCTCCCTTCTGCTATATGTAACAACCCACTACTTCAAGATGTAAGGAAAGAGTTAAGCTTCAGCAAATCCTGCTATAAAGGCTCAGCATGTTGTAGGAAAACTTGTTTTAATTCAAGTATTAGAAAGAAGAGGGACATTGATTATCTCAGTGCTTAGAGGCATTATCCTGGCAGGCTACAAACTAGACAGAGTGCTTAACTCTTAACAGGGAAGTGAAAAGGTTGCTTTGGAGTGTCCTTAAAATGCATATGACACAAAAAAAAGCACAGGGGAAATTTAAGATTTAAATAAAATAATCCAAAAGTTTGTTCTCCTCCCCAGAAAAGGGCTAACCTTCAAGAGGGAAACTCTTGCTAACAGGAGAATAAAATCCCTCCATAGACCAGACAGCTTGTTTCATTCAAGGAGAATGAGGAGATCAAGGTAAACCCTAGTCCTCCTAATCTTTGCCTCTGCTTACCTGGAAGTATCATGCTAGCTTGTTTTCAATTCAATGCTATTCTGCATTAGTTCTCATGCATTAGATTACTTAAAACAAGTATTCACCTTTTTTTTTCCCCACCTTTTTGTCCTGGAAAAAGACAAGTCTTAGTGCTTCAGTGTCGCAAGATGTTGTTTTAGCCATCATTTTGCCCATACTAACCTATATAGTCTACACAGTCTTCAACAGCCAGGTTTCCTACAAGCTTTTTTATTTTCCTTCCTCCTTAAACAACTTTTTAATGCTTTATATTCTCTAGTGCAAGTAGTCTGTATGAAAACTGAAATATTTTTTTATATTATCACAGTGCAGATCTAAATAGTGCAGAGTGTAAATATTTCTTCTGGCTCCTTGTTGAAAGTGTTCTTTTTGAAATAAGTATGCATTTAATAAAGTAGCATCTTCCAAAGCCAGTATTTGATAAAACACACTTGTCTATTATTTTTGCCAATACCTTTTCTCAAACAACAACAAAAGATAACTCAATAAAATATCTTATATCTGCAATAAATAAATAGCATTTATTACCATCTCCTTTTCGTGGTTTAAAAGGGCTGCCTTCTTTTCCAAATGGGACATCTGCATCCTGTGAAAATCCACTTTCTGCTTGCATTTCCTCTTCTATCCCACTTTCAGATGACTGACCACTCAGTGTCCCCTCATTCCAGTTTTTATAGTTTTCATCAGAATTTTTTCTTCTGTGTTCCCTGTTTCTTCTGCCTAGTGTTGATTCCAGCTCTGCATTTCCATCCGTGTTTGCTCCATTACAAGCTTTAGGTTGAGGAAAATGCTGCATTATAAATCCCACAAACTTCTTTCCTTTTTTACCAGCTTCATTAACCTGCATTTACAACAGAGAGTCAACTGAAGGGTCATTTTAAGACAGAGGATAACTTGTTTTCAAACATTTTGGTTTCAAACATAGGTTTTGTTTAATTAAATTGCAGACTTTCAAGGAAATATAAAGGACGCAATACTTTGTGCTATAGCAAGGTAATTTGTAGGCTGTCCATGTAGGCAAATAGAGGCCTTCCACAGTGTCTTTGCACTTTGTAAAGATGGCAAGTACTGATACTAACTTAAGTGCACCCAAAATTCTTAATTTAGAACAAAACCCAAGTATTTTACTTGCTGAGTGCCAGAGATAAGCAATATAGTGATGCAATGAATAGTACTGTTGCTTTAAACCTATATGTGACACTCACTGCACTAAAATTGCTAACCACCAATACTACCAAAATAGTTGTTGTTTGTCCTGTGTTAAGTTTGGTCATCTCCTGGTTCCCTTATGTGCTACCCAGCTTCACTATTCCATGGTACTACCACACTTTTTTTAGTATCATGAGAGATGGACGGGCTATAATTTATCTATCCATTACCTATGAATAGGAAAGTTTTTGCAACTGGCCAAAATTCAGCCAGCACTGTGATTGCACAGAGCAGCTGTTTGTTTTTTGTTTTTCCCTAATGCAACCAAAAGAATTTTAATCATGACGAGCAACATGTGGAAAAAGAGGCAATATGACAATTTATTTTTTCCCGAGCGTCACAAAGTCTTGTGGGTTCAGGAAGTCTTTCCTAAACAAGTGAGTTTAGGCTGGATTACTGGTTCAGTCTTCTTAAAACATTGGGAGGATTTAAAATTTAAATTATTTTCATGTAGTTCGTACATTCCACATTTCCTCAGAAAATCAAATCACTGCTAATTTCAATCACATTTTGCCTTTAAATGTTTGTCTGGTTGCACTATATAGGCAAGCTAGCAATACTCATATGATATGAATGTGTATTGAGTCCATTTTTATATTTGAAACACCTGAAACACAGTAATTTCAAAGCAAGCCATGTAAAAACTACAAGCATCTCTTTGATAATTTCAAAGATCATTAAGCATTTCCAATATGCTTTTGCCTCAACTTCTTTCCTTAGCAAATAATGTAAAAGACATCACTAACTCTTGTAATAACAATAATTTCCTGTTTCGGCAAGTCTTCAGCTATCCAGAGGAAGTGAAACACAAAAAGAACCAGAACTGCAGCTTGCACTGTACGGTAAGTTTAGTTTTCTTTAACCATACAATATTTGCAAAAGTGTGAGGTTTTACACAATCACTCTGTATTTTGGGTTTTTGTTAATGTTTAAAGAATGAAAAAATAGTTTTGTATTTGAAATTTGTATTAGGCTTCATATTAGAAATTACAATTACTTTACTTAACACAGAACAACATAAAACTTCCAAAATTTTAAAATATTAATTCCAGAAAAAGAGCTATTGTGCAAGCATTTTTTTTTTAAGATTGTGAGTCAAAGTTTAAGCCTGATTCTACTTCCACTACCACTAGCCAATGTCCCCCTAGACTTTACAGAACTCAGGACTAAGTCCTAAATTAGAAAAAGTAGAGAAAGAAGAAAACTAATTCTTTTGACATCAACAAAAACCATAGTACACTTCTATTAGAAGTAAAAATCCTGCAATAAGTCTGGAAAAAATTAAGAAAACCCTAGAGTACCTTTTCCAGCAGTTCCTTCACTGCCTCGTTTGTCAGTGTTTCACACATTAAGGGACATTCCTCAATGACCAGCCTGGGGTGCCTTTGTCCTCTGGGTGCTGCGTGCTTCTGGCTAGGACACAGAAAGAAAGCAGGCTTTGTCAGTACTTTGTGGCTAGCTTGGGCACATGCTTGCACGTGCAGTCCCTTTCTTTCCTTCTGCAATCAAGGTTATGAACGAGATCTGGCAATACTTTTTCATACTTCTATACACACAGAAACATACATCTATAAACACAGAAAGAAAAACAAACAGAAAAAAAAACACTAAAAAATGGTGCTTTCAGAAGTGTTTACATGCTATTTTTTAGTTTTGAAATTTGAGCAGTGTCCCAGGTAGTTTATGAAATAACAGTGGGGGCAAATTCTAGAAATATACTGCAATAGCAATTGATTTTAATGAAGTAACATTGAAATCACTTGTAGGTTGCAGAATCCCAAATGCTTCAACTCCCAGGTAACGGTCAAGAATATTAGGAATCTTTCTGTCTAAAGCCAGTAGCACTGGTACCCAGGACCACAACATTTGATGTACAGCTACAAATGATATTTTCTTGTGTGTCTTTTTCCATGTGAGCTTTTGCCTGAGAATGAAACACAAATGAAAGATGGGATGAGTTATTTTCCAAATAGCAGCTGGAGAACTCTGAGGTGTGTTGGTGTACAGGAAAAACAGCACGGATGCATGTGGCACCTGCACAGGAAATGGGAAGCGTGAATCCAGCAGCTCCATTTGGAGGCTGCCTTGTTCTTGTCCTTCTCTTATTCAAGGGCATGAGGATTCAAGCCACAAGGTTTCTTCTCTTATTTAAGGGCATGAAGGTTCAAACCCTGATTTTGTATGGATCTCTCTGCCATGGGAATCAACTGAGTTGGGGAAACTGTGTGTTGCAATGTAGGCTCAAGAGCTTCAGCTGTACGAAGCAATATTCTGCTTTGCTCCTCTGAGCACTTGTCCACACGGACAACATTCCTGCCTTGCAGATTAACTTTATGAAAGTAAGTTGCATGAGCCCTGATTAACAAAGAGCCTCAAATGTCAGGAACAATGCTTGTTTAAGCAAGGCATCTGACCAAGCAACTCTCAAGTGAACCATGTTTTACCGAAGTATTGAGAGCTGCACAGGGCCCTGCTGGGTTCACGTCCTTCCAGCCTTCCAAAAGAAGCTCAGACTCTTTGCCCATGACTGAGGAAAGAAGGGGAAGCATCAGAGATCTAAGTTAATAGCACCTGCTCTCCTCATTACATGCTGTAGGTGTGCCTGCTTGAGCAGGAAGGTTGGGCTAGATGATCTCTAGAGGTCCCTTCCAACCTTAAATATTCTGTGATTCTGTGATTACTAGCTCCTGAGTTTTCCTCGGTAACAGAAATAAATTTTTATATATCTATTTCCCACAAAATCACAGTATTTGTTTTTTGGTAAGAATGAAGAAGAAGCTTTATCTTGGCCGAGCTGACAGTACTTCATGCTCTTTAGGTGATTTTCACGGAGAAAAGGCTAATGGCAAACTCTTAGCGAAAAAGCTAAAGGCAAATGTTTCAAAAATGAAAAACAAAAGAACAATTGTGCGATTCTGTGACTCTGATGTGAGGGAATTAAAAGAAATGTATTATTTTTTTTTGCTTCAGGTTATATGACATAAAATGTCTTATTATACAAATTTTTAAAAATAAAAAATATTTTCCCACAAACGTGTTTTAAAATTCTACTGCAAGTATGATAACCAATAATTTTGGATTTGCTTGGATGCTTATTAAGATAGAGTGTTACCCTATTAAATGTTCAGGGTTAATAAAATAATGTTCTACCAACCCACTCACCATTCTAGACAAGGTACAACTCTTTGACTGATGTTTGAGGTGCTTATTTCAAGTTAATGATATTATGCATGTGAGCAATACACTTAGTCAGTAATGAACTGCCATACAGTATGAATACCATGCAGTATGGTATATGATTTCTCTGTTACCTTAATTTTAATCGTGAAAGTACCACTCGATACATGTGACTTGCAGGGAAATGCCTCCTGCGTCCAATTGGCAGGATAATGGGATGAACAGCTCCTACGACATATCCTAAATTGTAATATTCTTCCACCTTTGATGCTATATCCAGCACAGAACTGATCTTGATAACTTCTGGGTTCGAGGAAGCTAAAAGCGTAGAAAACACAGAGGAGAGGCACATTAGGCATTACAGAAGTGCATGCAGATTTTGGTGAGTTGTTATATAAGCACAAAACCTATATAACACAAAATCTATTTACTGAAAGGCTACGGTGCTCTTTGTACAGGAAAGAGCATATCCACAGTTACGGATTCAACTGGCTGAAGTACATATTTTCACAAACAGACCATATTCACTTGTAATTCACTTGGCAATACTCTCCTGTTGGATCTAGCTCTGTCAAGCTAATAACTGTATTAGCATTTAAACACAAGACTATTCAAATTCAAAAGCAGAGCAACACTTTTGTCTAGACAAAGTCTTACGTATACTGAAACTGTGTTTTTTTTAGTCTTTTCCTATTTGAGATGTAAATTCCTTGAGTGCAAAGTTAAGCCTAAAAACAACGTTTTTTTCTTAAATAGCTTTTTTTTCGGAACCCTTAAAAGCAATGTGTGGGTTTTATGTTGAAAACCACAGTTTCAACATAGTCCTAATTCCTTTTCAAAGTAAATCTAAGCACATTTTGCAATAAGCTACATGGCAATACTAACTCTAAGTAGGAACCCTCTGAGGATGAGCATGGATTTCTGACTCTTCCCCTCGACTCCAACTGGAATTTTCGATACTCTCAGATTCTCTGCCAAGTGGGTGACCAACACTTACATACAGATGACAGACTGAAGATTAGTTCTCCCAGCATTTATCTGCCAACATCAAATTTTTCATCCTTAAGAGATGCAGACTCTCGTGACAAGGAAGCTGGGCTTGGAATGTGACAGCCTCTGTCAGTGACCCTTGTTGTAAATGACGTGGAGCTTTTGGGGACTTTGACAGTTCCCACACTTTGGAAAACTTTCAGTGCATTAAGATAAGGGAGGATGTTACTGATGTGCAACTGAACTGGAATTAAGTTCTTGACCCCACACTGCTCATTTTAGGAGATTCAAATATTTTAGCATGCTACTTTAAACATTCCCTTCAAAACCAAACAACCCCTAAAAAAGTAAAGACTTTTTTCTCCTTTGATTTTGCAATTAAAACAAAAAGCTATCAAGAGAAAAACACAGCAACAATAAATCTCACTCATCACTTTGAAAATGTATTCCCTGAATGTCATTTAATGTTCTGGTTTTCTCTTTCACTTAGCTGCTCACTCATATTTAGTAAAGTGGTGTGCGCTAACAAGGCCTTGAGGGATTTATCAAAGACACATCAAGTCAGAAAGTCACAGATCCGGCCAGTAGACAAACCTGTTATCCATTCTCTTTATCTAATAAACTGAGCTAGAACTCTGCTGGTTGATGAGTGATGTTCTGAACAGCTTCAGTCTTTCGAGCCTATTTCCCGTCTACAAGAAGGTTTATTGCTGATCACTGGCAAACTCACCCAGTTCCTGTGAGCTCTGCCATTCTCACACACAGCACTGGGCTGCTGCACTTTCTTCACAAAGCCATTAACGGTATATTTCTTCGATAATATTGCCTCTATCCACTAAGTCCTCTCATATTAAGACTTAGTGTCTCATTCAGGAAATGTTAAATACATAACAAAAACTACAACACATGGAAGCCAAAAAAAGCAGGAGTATTAACTTGCTAGTTGTATACTGAACTTCAGAAGCATGATACTGAACACAAGGACAAAGGAGATATTTTATGCATATTCATACACATATTCAGATAAACAAGAGCTTCACACTATGTCATTTTAGTGGGCTGAAATGAAAACCATTCACGTCATGTCTCCTGTTTCCTAACATGAGAGTTTGGAAAAGGCAGAACCAATCTGCCTGAGTAGTAAGACCTGAGCTCTTCCTACCCTGTGTTTAAAAGCAGCTGCCAAAGCAGAAGTTATTTGTGTAACTGAGATGCACCTTATGATCCAGCCTGTAAAACCTGCAGTACCTGGAGAGCATCTGCAGTTACACTTGAGAGTCCTCTGCTCCATCTCCTCTGTCCCATGCAACTCCTGCCAGTAAAAGACTGCCCGCAGTTTTTTTCCTGGGGGATTCTCCTGTTGCACAAGGACCTTCATAGGACTCTGGCTGATCTTGGCATAGGGAGGGGAGTGTTTTGGGACAAGGGGTGGGTGGGGAGAGACCAAAGTACAACACACTGCTGATTACTAGTTAAGTTACTCAAGGACTCAAGGACCAGCCAGCAGGTTTAGACTTGTTGACTAATTTGTTATGGCTTAGAAGAAGACCATGGACTCCTGAGAGTCTCTCCAACAGCCCCTTTTTGACTTTACATAGTATAAAGACTCATGAAGACAGAAAACAACACACTGAATTAAATATAACACGTTTACGCTTGCTGAATTTCTATCTTAATGTAGGAATAGAGAGGATACTAAATTAGGGGATCCTATATTTTGTAGAAAACCAAATGCAGGGCTAGCAAGTCACTCCGACAACCAGCCATCCCAGACGCTGGGAAAGATCTTGCTCTAAAAACTAGCCAAGTTTGCCCTGAAAAGCAAGCACAGTTTCACAGCAGAGTGAAAATCAACTTTGTTCCAAACTGCTGGAAAGCTTCATTTAGCCCAAGGACACTGTTGTGGCAACAAACAAGGGGGACTGAGTTGAAGAGGTTAAGAGTTGGCAAAGGGGAAACCCAGCCCACTGTGTTCCCTACAGTGCTTTGGCCAAACCTCACTTTCTGTAAGGAAACAAAATGCACAATTGCCTCCAGAAATACAGTACAACTATATGTTGTGCCTGTATTCACAACCTGAGCTCAAAAAGTAGAGCTCAAAATAAAATACGGAAAAGATTAAGTATTTTTATACTGCTAAAAGTATTTTATAACTCTGCTCTTCAAAGCTGAACACCCTGTCAATGTTACTTAGCATTCAGAATTCTGTAGTGTCATTGAAGCTGAATATGAGACTGAATATGAAAAAACCTTTCTTTAAACTGTATTCAAATGACATGTTATTAAAATAATATAGATCTTTCTTTACACGTCTTTGATGTGCATTTTGCTTGAAAGTGACAATCTTCCTTATTACAAATCCTGTTCAAGACACTTCCCGGAAACATGTTACAATAAAGTGAAGCAAAACTATCTGGAACATAGACTATTTAAGAGTACTAAATGCACTTCAAGAAAATTAGGTTTTGTTATGCTTTTTGTTATCACTGCATTAGTAGGTAATTAATGCACGTATTAGACAGCCCAACTTTACTACTGCTCCATATAAAGAAAGGTTTGTTTCCCCACACATAACGAAGTAATGAGCAACTCATCTTCATATGTGCAAACAAGAAGCGCTACCGTACTGCTGGATGTCAAGTACTGTAACTTACTGGGATGTTTTCTTCCTATTGAGGATCTTGCAGTTTTTCAATAAAAAGCCTGGAATATGTAAACTGAAAATATTACTCCAGGCCAGCAATTCAATGAGAAAATTAGGAGGAGGTCAAGCTTTGTTTCTGAACCAGTTCCTAAATAAGTAACAGCACATCCACTAACGCTTCTTCCTTTATCAAAGCCTGCTTCCAGCTATTGCTTTCAACTGGAAACCCTCCCTCTAAGGCTTCTCAGTCGATTTGCTTGTTGCAAAGTGTGAGTTACTACAAAGCGAGCGCAAAACCGCGCTGCTCCGTGCTCAGAGGGCAGCCATCTGGGCTTGTTTATGTTTTCAACTCTGGGGAACAGGGAGTTGCTCTGTTAGAGACGGGACACCCTCGGGAAGGAAGTATCCCGCAGCGCCCCGTCTGCCTCCAGCTACGCATACAAATTCGGACTCACTTTGGTCACTCTTTCAAAGGGCTATTCAACAACTACAAGCCGGGCGTTTGCAAAATACCGAGACATGAAACGAGGAACTTCTTGTTAAAATAACCACCAAGGGACTAGGGTAGGCACAAGACAGAAAGCGATTCCCGGTACACAGCTAAGAAACAGACTTATTTCTGCATAAAGTAGCACGGACAATGACAGCCTGTTTTCCCATGTCCAGCACACTTTAAAACATCATTACTCAGGCAGGGCATTCTGCTCCCGTTGCTGGGGCACAGTGAATTTTGGGCGGTCACACGGAGCCGAGACGAGCGCTACCCGCAGCCAGAAAGGATGGCAGTATCTGACTCACAGGAAAAACTCCCCGGCAGTTTTTAGCCCGCTTCCTTAACAAGGACAGTGGAGTGATTTGGAGAGCTCTGTTGTTAAAAATACTCCAGCAGTTTCCATTGTAATTTTATCTATCTGAAGACCTTTGTCGTGATTTGTGTTTCAAAATAAAAGCCTTGTTTAGGCTAGCATTGATAAAAGTGGCTAAGCTTTCTGCAAGTCAAACTAGACAGAGCTAAGTGAAATACTATCCCTTCTTTTCTCAAAATATTAAAGATAAAAACAGGAAAAAAATACCTTCTAGAGTAAAATCCAGCAATACGTATTCATAAGCAGAATCCGTCTTTGTTTCAACTTGTGGTCTCTTCAACGTAGAGAAGATTTTTCCAGGGCTGCTATCATCTGGGTCTTCCAGCTTTCTCAGTCCGCACCCCATGGCAAGATCTGCAAATAATTAAGTTACAGGAAAAAAGGGGGTGGGGGCGCAGGGGGGAGTGGGCAGCAAGATCTGCTGCTCTCCCTTAAAAAAAAAGTAATGAAAAAATTCCCTTTGATTTTGCTTTCTATAAGCCATAAATCCAAATACAGAAAACTTCTGCTTCCCAAGTTAAAATCCACACGTCCTTGCTCTTCATTTCTACATATAAACACTAAGCCCGGAATGACTTCAAGCCACAAACTTGGCAAAAGGCAGCCTGATTTCCCAGCGATGTTAGAGCTGCTACAAACTAGCAGAGATTTTCCATGCCACGTCAATTTACAGCCAGCCCCCTCGCAGGGCTCTCTCGCAGAGGACACCAATAGTGCTTTGTTTGTCCTTCTGGACTGACTGGCTAAGGAGGAGAAGGCGAGGGGGGGAAAAAAAGGAAAAAAAAAAAGAAAAAAAGAACTGAAATTGAAAGTTAAGAGTGAATCTCGCATGTAATGACTTACCTCCCAGAGATCGGCTCCACCAGTAGCAAGTCAGAGGGGAAAAGCAAGTTAGTCAGAATGAGAGAATGAGAAAAGAGCCTCAACATGGTTGGAGACAAAAATCATTTCCAGAAAGGAAGTCAGCCTCGAGAGGAAATTGCTTCTGGCATCTCAAAGGGTAGAAAAGTAAATGAAAAGCAGTTTAGTCTCTATTTCAGATTGAAGAGTTTAGCCCTATTTCCTTTCTACGGGAACCTTCCTCCAGAAGAAAAAAAATAGTGCAGTGTTTTGCAATAATGCAAAAATATGGTAGTAAAAAGGTCTCTTACCAAGAAAATCACATATTACAATAATAATATACATTAATAAAATCAACTTAATTTTGCTTAAAAAACAAGAAACACGTATCCTAAATTGCAACTGTTTATCCTAGAAACATTTATCCTAAATGACTGAGCTGCAAAAATTATACTTTTTTTAAACACCTCATTCACCTTTTTAAAATGTGTATCACCACCTAGCAAAGAAAAGCACTCATAGCCCCTACCACTTTATTACACCTGATACAGACCTTGATAAGGTATAAGGGAGGGTGGAGGGAGAAGAAATCTTTCATTTAAGCATCTTCCCAAAGATGCATCTACAGACTGCACTGCTTTTGAAATCCACCTTATGAAGTGATTTGAGAATAATTTAAAAACCAGTCAGTGCAGAACCTATGTAATAATTCTCCTTTCTATCCTGTGTTTTTAAAAGCAAACGCAGGAGCCTTAACCAACAGGATATACTCCAGTGTTGTCTTCTTGATGAAGAGCTAGCAAACCTTCCTGAGCGAGCAGTCCCTCCTCTCTGCGCCCTGCAAGTCTGCTTGCCCAGAGCTGACTCCCGTTTTGTGTTTTCATTTAATTAAGATAGCTGTTTTAAATGAGACTAGAAGCAGTATTTTGAGGGCTTAACAAAGCTTACCCTTCCAAGATGGGATTTCTCGTAGCCACCACGGAATGCAGCTATGGATAGATGTGATGATCCTTAGTCTGGAGAACCTGTGACTGGTGAAGCAGCCATCAACTTCTAAGTTTAATGGTTACCAACCATTAAAGACATAAGGCAGTGAAACCAAAGAGCCCAACACTCAATGAAGAAGGGATTAGCAGCCCCCCTTACAGACGTTCACAAACCAATTAAGGCATTTAAACCACTGAGAAGAGGAAAAAGATCCTAAGACTCCTGGATTCAAAAGGCGCCTGAATACAAGCAACAAAACAGCCCCATTTCAGTGGTGTGACAGACAGATGTGTAATATAGCATTTGGAAATCTTGGTTGTGGGAAGTGCTTTTCGCCTGTTTCATTATATATTGCTCGACTTACTGAGGGCAAAACCGTCAAACACCACCCAACGTGTGAAACTATTTGTTCCTGACTCCGCACTGAACCCCTCGCTATTAATGCAGGAGGTCCAACGTGCTGGCACCAAGTGTCCCTGGATCCCTCCTTGAGGATCTCTCTCCTGCAGGAAATAACAGCAACAGCATCCTGCTCCTAGGAAAAGTTTCCTCCAGTTTCTTAGATGACGAAGAATGGGAAAATAATTACTGATAGTTGTGTGTGTGCGCACGTACAGATATAACAATGTATAAGATACATATATTTTATATATAAGATATATATATATTTTTTATATATATATTTCCCCCCCCAAGCCATCCAATCTTCCTGTTGATTAAAAACATACAGCTAAGACAGAGAAAATGATTTAAACAGTGCAGGTACACAGCATGTTTTCCTTGTCTCTCTATATGCAACGTGCAAATGAAAATAAAGAAAAATTCAGACCATTTGATTGATTTACAAATGTCCACTTTTGAACAGGCACAGAAACCCAAGAAAGATCATGTACCACAGAATTCACAAGCCCAGACTCATCAAGAGGAAGACCTTTCCACAGGAATAAAAAGTCTCTGTTGTGGTCCTACAGAATGTTCTTTCTTAGGGAAGACAAGAATCTTCTACCTGTACAAACTTCATGCACCTGTAACAGAATCCATAATAAATGCTTCCTTAAAGACCTCTTTCTTTTTCTGGGTAGGATACAGGATAGCCTATGTTCAAAGGAAAGGAAATCAGACCATGTATGATCTAATACTGTGCAACTACAAAGAGAAATGACTCTTCCTCAGTCTCATGATGCAAAAACAGCTGATACTTTTGGGAGAAGAAAGTCTTGAGACTTTCTACTCTGTTCTGACCATCACTGAGGCAACACCTCCAGAGTCTGTGCATCTGTGACAGGGTTACTGAGACATTTTAACTGGGTAATGAGCTCACCTGGAATAAATCCGCTATTACAAGTTGAGAAGCCTTTGAAGATCCGGGTCTGCCTGAGGTTAAAGAGCAGCAAGCATCAAAAACACAAACACATTAAAAGTAAAGAATAAATTACTACCATTTTATAAAATGTCACTATGATCAACACTGACTAACAATAGAGGAGATAATTTGTAGTTCTCCTGAAAGAAAAATCAAACTGTAAAATTATTTTTGGACTAAACATGTCTCCAAGTTGTGGTCATTGCATCCATACTTACAGCTTATAAATACACTTAACAGGTTTTTTTTTTTTTTTAAAGAGAGGAGTGTTATTATCTAATAGAGATCAATCGCTACTGATGCAGAATGTTTTAACATAGGCCAGATATAGGCCAGATATGGTAGTACTAGCTCAGAGAACAAAGTGAGTACTAAACTAGTCATATTTCTTCAGAAACAAAGATGAACTGAGCAGTTATAGGACTTTATCACAAGCTAAAAAAAAAAAGAAAAAAATCAAGAAAACCAGAATATTTATCATCTCAAATTGCAATACTTTAGTACCTCACAGTTCCTGCCCCTATTCATTTTTAGGCTCACTTCCTTTATTTCATGACTCAAGGAAGACGTTAAGTTTTTGCTCGGGGCAGGTCAGTGAGAAACAAATTATCGCACAAATATGCTGAGTTTGAGTAGTCAGAAACTTCCCAAAACCCCATTACTTTAGCTAAAACAAAGCATTCACATTTATTTCTTTCTCTGTAGCATGACAATTATTATTCAAATAATTAAATTTATTTAAAGATAGAGTTTAAAGACTTTTATAACCAACAGTTTTCTGTTCAATGCTCCATTCTAAGAGCTCTGTAAATTTTTTTTAATCCCATTGAAGGAATAAATTCAGAAATGTAACTAAAAAAAACTTGTTAAACCTGTTGAGTGGAAAAATCAACTTTCCTGAAATATTACTTTGTATGCTAAAAAGTGTAATTACTGTAACAATGACAAAGTATCAGTTTGCTTTGTACAGGGGAGTTTAATGATGAAAGTCACTTCATTTTTTCTTTTTTTTCCAGTATAATGTTATAGTACTTACCTATGCCACCATTAAATAAACAATAGCTACAACTCAAACAGTAAATAGGGACCAATTTATTTGAATTGAACCGTCACTTACAAAACTAGAATGTTATTAAAAGTTACAAACCACACAAACTTGGTTTTAATTACTGTGCTCTACAAGTGGTTTCAACGTAAAGAGCTTTTGATTTATAAGACGACAAACTGCTCATTGAAACGAGATCTACAAATTTCTTACTCTTCTCCACGCACATCCACAGTATCTTACCTAACAAGGCTGCAGGAACTAGATGTGCCTGGATTACAGTATCAAAGAAGAGAGCCATCTGATCAACTCAATCTTGTGTTCTGCAATAAAACTGCATGTTCTAGTTTAACCACTCAACTGGAAGACAACTAAAAAGATGATCAGTGTTGTGTTTAATGCGTACATCCACGTAGGGATGGGGGAGGTATAAAGCAACCAAGTGGCTCTCAAAATTACAGTCTAAATGCTATTCGAATTAGCTTTGGTTCAAAAGGCCTATAAAAGCCTTGTAAGATCTAGCTTTTCTATTCCACCTTTGCTACAAAATTAAGCTCTGTTAAAAAAACCCTACATATTACAGCTCTGCTCTATTTCTAATTGGATTTTCTGAAGAACAGGTTATAAAGATTTGCCTAATGTTTACAAGGCTACCCAAATGCATCAAGATGTTGGCATTGTATTTTGGATCCTTAAAATATTGATTTACAGCATTTTTTTTTTTTTTAATGAAACAGAAAGGAAGAAAATTTTATTCCAAGTGAATGGAAATTCCTGCAGCGATTCAAAATGACTGAGCTACCAACCTATTTTTGTTCAACAGCACAGCCATACAACTTCTCACATGTTAGAACTACGCTAAAACAGGGAACAAAACATTTTAAAGAAGCCACGCGTCCCATTACTTTTTCCTCAGTTGCTACTGGAATGCAGTTGACTCATTAACCCAATGGTAAAATAATTATGAAATAGACAGTCATTGACCTAAAGTTAAGCATTTTGGAAAATGAATTTCAGAATACATAGAAATATCCAATTAATATGAAAAATGTCACTTGTTCTACAAGGATGATGAATATATTCCTGGTGCTCAAGACCAGAGGGAGCAGGTAACAAAAGCATTAGTGAACAAGATAATCCTGTTTAATACAAGAAAATATTCCTTGCTGAAAGGAAGAAGCGTGATAACTTCCATAACTTTTTCTATCTAAACCTATAGACTTTCACTGAGAGTTACCTAATAGAAAATGTTCCAGGTCAATATTATCTTCATATAGCAAAAGGCTAAGCATCAGTTTGAAAACCTGCAACAGCTAGCTCACTAGAAAACCAAAAATACCTGCTGGAAACTGGCTTAGTAATAGGTAAGTAACCTAACAACACCTAAGGAGGAAGGTGAGTATTTGCCATATGTCATTTTTCACTGGTTAACTGTATGTTCACGGCCTGGCAATTCAACACGATCCCTCCCAGCCCCATGACTCTGGTTATAGAGCCCACAGCCACGGGTGGGAAATCATTCAGCCCCAAAGAGAACATTCCCCTCCTACAAACTCCTGAACCACCATCAGGGATCATAATCTCAATATCTGGAATCAGCTAGAGTAGAAATCTCCATCTGAGGAAGATTCTCAGTGTCAGGAAAGTAATACCATGTAAGAAATGGATAAGGAAAAAACCCACAACCCTCAAATCCCCATGAGCATTAGGTCAAGATAATGCAATTTTAGGCACTACTCAAGAGGAAATGATGTATTTCTTTCCTATGATACATTACAGGAATAGATTACTAATGCAATTTCCAAAGTCATTTATTGTGTCTCTCCTGCTTTTCATGAAGAACCCAACTACTGGAAGCTTAAAGGTTACGTTATGGCTAATTCCTACAATGTACCTATGTAAAGACAAGGAAAACCTACTCAGAAGCAGTGGCTGCAGGACCGAGACAGTAACATCTCTCCTGATGAATGCTAATAAATGACAATTTGCAAGTGTTCGTATTAAACACAACCTATCTGGCAGACATGCAAGTGACTGCACCGTATTTGTAAATTGTAAACAATTTGTAAATTGTCCAAGCAATTTGTTCCAAAAACTTCCCTGTAAATACATTTTTTTTTTTTTTAAATATAACATCCAGTGTAAAATTAGGTTCTTAGACCTTTAAAGTGTTTTAAAAACTGGCAAGTTATGTTTGGGAAACGAAAACCCCAAAATAAAGTTTTAAAATTAATCTTATGAAACCTGGGTGAAACCAGTATTTCATGAGAGGGGAACTGAGGCTCTAACAGAACACACAACCTTTTCCAGGTAGCTTTGCAGAGAACGTATCATTTACAGATATATTTACTATCTAGAAATGCTCCCAAGGAGATGAATTATTGCTAAGATGTGCCAAGATTTCTTTAAAGTACATATATGGATGAATTCTACCATCTAAATCAAACAGAACAACAACTGGACAGGGTGTACAGACTGACCCTCAAACATGAAAAGCTACAGCAGCTTTCTCCCCCCATCAAAAGTAGGCTGAGATTCCCAAGAATTTAACAAATTGCATCTGTACTTGATACTTACTGTTAAAACAACCCCAACAACTGTTAAGGTAACACCATATTTGTGTAGATTTTGTGTATGGTTTAAATTGTATTTGTGTAGATTGACTGACTATAATGTCCATTCTGCAAGATCCTCATGTGATTAAAAAAGGAAAACCTCAAAATTATTACAGAGCAGATGAAAAATCAAAAGCTCAAGTGTATTTTACATACGTAAAGATCTCAGTACTATATGAAGCATAAGCCATAGCTTGTATTCCTATTAACTACAGAGGCTGAGTTTCAACCTTACGGGAATAAGAGTTTTACAAAACATAGAAGGAACTCAGAGGGAGAGGAAGGAGGCCAGGAGAGAAGTGGAAAATTAGCTTCCTACAGTTGAGGAGAAAGCAGTGTTTCATCTCAACACATGATACTATCAAGGAGTTTTCAATTTTGCACAGAAAACAGAAATTTAAGGAAGCAAGAGGAAGTTTGTGAGGTCTTACCACAGTACGAAGTCAATTCTTGCCTTTTTCTCTATAGCTAAAGACACACCAGAAACAAACGTAATGCTTACCATTAAAAATGTCAGCCTCATAGGAAGGAAGGTAATTATTAAGCTAGTTGTCTGAACTTTATTTTAAATTATTATTGCTCCCAAACAGTAAAATGAGACATAAGAAAAACATTTTATAGAAGTAGAGAATTCTGACACAGCAGAATTAAAAGTATACAAACTAGAGTGGAACAGAAAGGAATGCACAGACTTCAACAACCAATTTTGAATGCACAACCAGTAAATGCTGTCAGTATGTGGAAAAGTGGCTTTTTTTATTTTGCAACTAACAGATCTTTTAATTTCTGTAGTCCAAAAGAGAAATGTCATGTTTTCCCTTTATTAGCAGTATGCTGTTTTTCAACCTACATTAGAAAGTAATGTATATACAGTAGACTGTATATCGCAAATTACAATTTTGTCCAGTAGAGTTTTTTATTAAGAAAGGAAACCATGATTTTATCCTGCATTTCATGTGTTTACCTATCCAAACCGCAAGATTTCGCTTTATCGCTCTACGAAAAGCAGTAACATTTCCATTTAGGCACATCCAAGAAAATTTTAGAAGCTAGGGAACTACATACCCTCCTTGTGACAAAATTCATGCTAAAAATCTACTTTACTGAATCTGTAGAAGGTGGTGGTATAAGAATTATCTTCCACTCTAAAATCTTTTCTAGGATGAAAATGAGGACTTCATGTACATGGAGGTTTCAGACTCAGACGAAGGAAGAGAAAAATTTCTTCTTACAGAATGTAATCTTGGTTCCTAAAGAGAGGGAAAAACGCAGTTTTGGTTCCTCTCGTTAGAGTCATGTAACATTTACTACATTAGTGATGCTTTAGTGAAAAGTTACAGCTCATTTTATTGCTGTGTCAACTATACAAGACTTGTTCATAAAAGAGAGTTACATTTCCATTACACACACACACACACACACACACAAAGTTGACAATGGTAAGAAGCTTCTTAATTTGTTTACAGGTATGGATGGAATCTTAAAATCAGTTCACATTAAATTCATTACAAAAAAAGAGAGAGAGAGAGGTTCTGTTTACTGTTTCTATTACTTTACACACATATGTCAAACCAGTAAAGGAACTGTTACCCTCTTTTAAAATGAGCAGGGGATTTTTTTTTTTTTTTAATACGTCTAGTATCTTATGGTGCAAAACTATTTAACCAAACCTTTTCTTTTTCTGCTGTTATATTTCCTATGATGAAGATTAGAGCAGTATGTTAAATAAATCTCAAGCTCAGCTTAGCATTAAACATTTTCAAGAACTGTTTAGTTTATTTAGTTCAATTCTCAAGTACATCATTGCTACTTAAGCATTACCATGTAGCTGGAACAGTATTTAAGCATCTTCAAGACTGCATGCATCTCCATGCTATACAAACAACCTTAATTCTAACTTCAACTACGATTCTGCTGCCTTAAATTTCTTTAACTTATATACAGTTTTTAGGGTTTTTTTTCATAACAAAGTGAATAGAGTTAGCAGATTTCTATGAGAATTTATAACGATGCCTATGTTCTTGTTCAGTAGCTAAAAGCCACAGCTCTATAAACCTGGACTTGGTAACTGACAGCTGCCCCATCTGTAAAGCACTGAACAAGTCATGGACTGCGACTGGGCAGCTTGGCAGCAATGTCAGCAGCTGCAGGCAACAGAGGACAGCAAGATTCAAAAAACACAAACAACTTTTTAGGTGTTGAGGTCATCAAGAATCATCTCTAGAATCCTTAAATTATTCTATTTATTCTTCTTATGCTAAAGTTCCTTGCCCTTTCTCTTACAGCTTCCACTCGGATCTCTGCTGCTCTACATCCCACCTGTTTTATTCTGCTTGCTTAACCAATAAAAGTTCCTTTATCTCTTTCTGGCTCTTAACATGGCACATGGCAGCCTCAGAATAACATCTTTGTTTCCTAAGGCTATATTCTTAGTCAGGCATTTCTAGTTCTCCTGCATTCTTATTTTCAAAAGCTTCATCAATACATCTTTTCCCCTTTTAGCCCTGCCAGTTTCCTGGTATTACTCACTGCAGTTCCTACATCCCTATCAGGATTTTTAACTCATCCTAACTCAAGATTTTAGCTTCGTCATCTCCTAGCTGCAAAACTGGTGCATTTCTTCTCTCAACTCTCAATTTCCACAGCCAGCTAGAGCCAGTCTTCCTGTCTGCTTAACTTATCAGTATATTAAAACTACAGAACTTTCTGCTTGTCCTGTCTTTTCTTTAGTTTTGACTCTTACAAACCTGCATTTTTTTTCTCTTCTCTACTGCTTAGCCCCTAGGAGGCTAAAAAACTATTTTGAGTTTAATTCACAGAACGCAGACATGGAAAAGCCTGCAAAAAACCCTGAGAGGAAAGTGCAAATAGGATCTTCAGAAAACTCACCAATGTCTCTAAGGAAAACTGGGAAAGTTTAAATTTTTTTTCGGAAAGACTAATCAATGACACAAAGTTCTCACCCTGATCAAACAGCGGGTTCTTGCCACAAACCACAGGGTTGTTAAAAGGCTTTCAAATATGAAAGGGACACATTTTATCATGTGCAAAGCATGTATTCTTCTTTATCTTCATCTTATTAAAATACTAAGATTTTAAAAGAAAATAAGTAACTAAAAGCAGCACCATAAAACATGAACACATGTCCCATCAACATAGATCATTATAAATTACACAAAATAGACAGAAAAGGGGAGAAAGGGAGTTTTCAATAAAGGAAGCAAGAACAGTTTCAGGAAAAGAAATACATTAAAGTGCTGAAACTTTCCCTTATCGAGAGAAAAATAAACGTGCACAGAATTTGGGACTTCAAACTATGTAGAAAACAATGATGGAATGAATACATACACGACTATTACAGGAATGAATGATATAAATTACAAAAGTTGTTCTACATAAGAGAATATCAGGAGATTTACAAACATGCAGCAAGTAACTAAATAATACTGCAGACTCTGCTGAATTTTATTTTAGCGTGTTTTATCATTTACCAATCTGTAAATAGCAAGCATCGCAATGAAGCAACTGACCCTACGTTTCACAACAGGCAGCTGCTAACTGGTGTGTTGATGATGGATCTCGGCCACATGGGAAGGACTGGACAAGAAAATCAGTACGGGTAGGCCAGAGCTGCCCACATGGCTTAATAGTGAACGCTCCACAAGGTCTGTCAAGTAAAGAGAGAGAACATACAGATCAGAGAAAGCAAAGGAAACAAACAAACAAGAGACTAAATTGGAATGAGAGCAAACTGCTAGAATAGGGAAAAAAAAAAGAAGTTGATAAAGAGAACATAGAAGGAAGCAATGTGAAAAAAGGCATGTCATCTGCACCTGTGTTAATACAAAATTAATGAATATTTGCTCATCAAAGATTCAAATATCCCTTATAGAGGCACTAATCTGCACTACTGAGCATGACAAGTCTCTTAATAATTGCATTTGAGGACAGCATAATGAAGTTTGAGACTTAAGTAACTTTTAGCAAAACATGTATTCTCTCCATCTTAATTTCATTCCCTGCACAAATTCAAAAACATACTTACCTATTTAAAGAAGGTGAGCTTTAATTTTTTGTTCCAAATGAAATATCATCAAATAATACGGTACTAGTATAAAATTACTCTGTTTCAAAAATGCAAGCAAGACTTTCTTTTAGAAGATCACTGAGAATTATATGTGCATATATACACACGCATGCAAGTACATATATTAAGTACACACACACACTGAGCCCAAACATTAGCTTGTTAGTCCTAATTGCAGAGAAGGGTGGAGAGCTCGGAATTCTGCTAGACTTGAAGAATGTTCACTGCCAAAAAACCAAAGTGCTCACCCTGGCCATCAGTACTATCAAAATGCATGTGTACATGAACATAAATACTACTAGTCAAGCCCTCTAAGTTTTGTTTTGACACAGGAATATCCAAGAAAGTAGAGAAATTAATTTTAAAGCTATTGAAAAGATTGTGGAGAACAGACATTGAACCAGAAAAAAAACCATGAAGATGATATATCCATCGCTGGTTGGCTCCTGGGGAAGTTAGTCAACAAGGATGTCAGAAAGAGCACAGAATTAGGTACTGCCCTTGCACTGTGCTCTCCTGAGCACCTTTGGAAAAGGCCAAGCTTAGAAGTGCCATCGCTCCAATCTCCCATTTAGTGCACAGCGCTCAGAGCTCAGGTTCAAGGACAGGAGGAGGGGAAAAGGCCAGACCTTGTCACCTGAAACTAGCTTGTTGGGAGAACAAGGGTGAAAAATCTGCACAAAATTCATTTTTTTCTCCTAAGGCTAAATGATCACACTAAAAGAAGAGTGAATATTCCCCTTGCAGACCTGAAAAGCCTCCCACAGGCAAAGATACCATACGATCCCACATCATTAACATTGTCCACATAATTCAGTTGGACACAAATAGTGGAAATGGCAAAAGTTTTTCCAGAGTAAAATCATGTCACCTCCAACAAGTACGCCACAGATGGAAAACATGAGTTTTCCCCCAACATGAGAGGGAAAAACAAATACTAGAAAACAAAACAAAATACCCCAAACTACCCACTTAACCACCTCCATGGGCCAGAGCTTGTTAAATCTTTTTTGTAAACTGCAGCTCCAGTACTCAGCTCCCCAGGTCCCAAATTATTTAGCAGGTCAGTGTTTCAGAACCCAAGATAACTATCCACTAAAATAAAATTTATATCAAAGGGATTTCTCCCAGGTCTGGAGTCAGAGAATATGAATTTCAATCTCGCCTCAAGTGGCTGCTTTTTACCATGGACGACACAAATCTTGCTACCAAACACAATCTCATACATCTCTAGAAGCACTCAAAACACCAGTCCCTGTATCAGAAGGCTATTTTGGATCTGAAACACAGTACAAGATCCAGTCAAGATGAGTATTGGCCATGTTTCCTAAAAAACTAAAATAAAATGCCACCCAACAACCCACGCAGCCTTTGAGAATGAACATCAACTCAATAAATGTCAACAATTTGTACAACTGCTTAAGAGGGAACCACTTCCTCCTACTCATGAACAACACATGCTGTAATCCCCAAAGAAAACACCTTCTGTGTTACACAAAGTATTTGCAGGTAATTTAAAGGGATTTAGCATTTTGGGCGTGAGCCTTACTTTAAATATCAAATTTAGATCTAAAAGGGAATTAGAGAACCATCACAGAAGGCTTACTTCTCGTTTGTTCCTCAAAGACTGTCAACACAAAACTGTAAGTGGCAAAATAGAGAAAATGAAAAATCATTTAAAAACACCCAAACTGAAGCTTCCTTTGCTATCTAGTGAATTTTGCAGAAGTAATGAACTTTACATATCCACACCAGCAACAGAGATGCTGGCTCAGAAATTGCTCAGTTTCTTCTTTAATGACTATTTTGTCTGTTTTTCTTGTTCATCTTTGTGACTTCATCTCAGCACAACTGCAACCCACACTTTTGAGCTACACTGAAAGTTCTGGAAGTCTAAAACATCAAAAACATCTGGATACTGGTTATGTCTGTACTAGTCTTGTCATATGACCACAGATCCTCCTATCAAGTGCATTTCTATAAAATGTCTATAAAGTTTACTCCTAATGCAAACCTGTACAGGAAACAGGAAAACTACTTTAAAGGCAAACTCCTAATTTGAGAATGGGCTCTGTCTGATAGGGCCACTATTTGGCATTTCTCCACTCAGCAAAGATACATTTGCTGGGTTATTTTAAACCTGCAACCAGGAGGCAGCATCTTGAGGCAGCTGGGGAACAGGTGGTAATAACGTGACCACTTGCTTAACTCAACCAGGCTGCTCTCAGCCTTCATTCCCTCTATTTTTCCCCTCTCCCTACACCTTGCTCAATACCCAGGCAGAGAAAAACACAATACAAGCTAATTAAATTCATTACACTTGGAATATATCCAAAACCTTCAGGATTATGTGAAAAGGTAAGATAAATGGAGAACTATAACGTGGAGCATGGAAGCAATTGCTGGCTTAGGCCAAGTTCAGCTGTGTGTGAAACCACTTCCAACGCTAGTAAATATACAAGACATCATATAATGAGATAAGTTAAGAGTATGAGTGTTTCCTCCATTCAAACACGACTGGAACATTAATGTTTTTATTCGACAGTAAATCAACACAGCTTGTATAACTTATCATGGAGCAACCTACTACCTACAAAAAAAAGCATGGTGCTGTGGTAATTACCGTAGAAGAGGAAGAGCTAATAGACTCTTGTATTAACTTCCACCCACCTCATAGCTTACTTGACACTACCTTATTCATAAAGCCTTGCTCCTAGAAAGACCATAAAAGTCAAGTTTCAAAGTACCCAAATTTGTCTTCTATGACCTCTGCCACACATACTGAGGGCCTTTCACCATCAGCAGGCAGGGAAAGAGAGAAGAAGCCCACAGCGTTGTCTGACCATACCAGCTTCACGTTTTCTTCATCCATGTGCCTACACAATGAACATCTCTGAGAATTTAATCCAGATAAAGTTTGTTTGGAAGTTTATAGCATGTATATTGAAGAAAGATCTAAGTATGAGAGGAAAAAATATGCTTCTTTAAATAAGCACGCAGATATTTTTGATTCTGAGACTACCATCGCCAATGTTTCCAGTGTTTTCACACACCCCTGAAAGTGCCATACAAACTGAGTATGATCATTGTGCTCCACCACTCCCTTTGTATATATGTCTTGAGTGTATGAATCATCTGGGATTAGCATTCTTCCCAAATTCATGTTCTTCTGTTTTCTTCTTTTTTTTTTTTTTTTGGACTACTTTCAGTTTAATCCAAGGCAACACTTATGTTTCAGCACCCTCTACTGGAAATACTTAGTAGACATCATTATGTAAGTACTCCAGCCAAAAAAAAAAAAAAAAAAAAAAAAAAAAAATTAAAGAAGTATAAAAGACAGACACAGCCTATAACATATCTTTGATTAATTCAAATTTATTCTGTCATTTGTAGCTGAGTAAGCATCTTCTCCTCGCAGAAGAACAAGCACTGTAAAGTTAAAACAACTGATAGTTTCAGCCCTTTGTTATCATGCAGTAACAGGCATCAGAAGCCAAATTTAACTTAGGATGTTTGCACATCATGTTAAAACAATGTTATAGTAATTTAGGCGACAGAACTTTCAGAACTTGCCTCAGTGCAAGAGCCAGACATTTTCAAATGGCCATTCAAAATCAGAACTGCAAGAAAAATATCTTAGGTGGCCAAAAGGGACATTTTTTCATGCTCACTGTTCCAAAAACTCCACCTTGCCATAGCATGAAGGGCTTGTCTGAGACTGCAAGCAATTAATTCAACTGCTCAAAATCCAGAGAGATGTAAGGATAACAATTTATCATTTCAAAGAACTGAACAACGCTCACTGCTTTCTCTCAAGATACATCTTTCATTTGCAGTTTTCCTTGCATCTCTAATTTTAGAACTATTTATTAAAACTTGTCTCAAAGTAGTTCCAGAACAAGTAACCTCTACATCCTCTGTAATAAAGACTGAAGAGCAAAGAAAAAAATAACAGTTTCTTTGCAACGTTTTTGTTTTCCTTACTTACTAATTCATAATAAAAGACTTTTTCATTCCTGCCCCCCTTCTTTTCCTGTCCCCCTTCCAAAAAGATGACAGTAAGACTACGGTGCTTACTTTAACTGGCTCAGTTTGAATCACAGGTGCTGGCATCGCTATGGCACTCTGGGCGTAAAGCTGGTGATAAGTTGCTTGAACTCCATGATCAGAATATGGCTGGTAGGAAAACAAACAAGAATTGTATTTATTTACAAAAGGAGCAGAAAAGCTTGTTTCACAATTTCTTATTTTTTCAGGCTTTTCAAATGGATTTAGATTCCCAAGAATTTCAAACTGTGGGTTGAATTAATCTAGATTACTGATTGGTCAATCATTGACTTTAAGCATGGATATTTCAAAATTCAAGGGCTTTCCCCCCCAACCGAATCTGAATTTCCACATACAGCTTCCTTTAACATTAGCAAAATATGTACCTGTGGACTGAGAGCACAATACATCCAAATATTTTCCCTACCTAATTTCATGGCTTTTCTTGTTGTTCACACATTTCAAATGTCTCTATATAAGCTGGTAAGTATTTGATTTATGAAAAACAAGACGTAAAACAATAAAATGGATGCACAGGATTTGTGACTGAACAATAAAGACCGATGTTTATGCATTTTCAGGAATAAGACAACCCTACCAAAGCTTTTTTTAATTAAAGTAGTGAGAACAACCTTTCAGGAAAACTAAATTGTCTAGGTGTGCCAGCATTTTTCATTAACAATGTTTGAAAAACCAATTTGGGAACTTGATTCTTGCAGCAATAAAGTACTTCTATAAAAATACTTGATTTTTTGCCCTAATTTACAGTTATCAGAGAATTAATTAAAATAGCCTTACTGTACATTAATCATCTCTTAAAAGAAATTGATCAGAAAAGAGCAGCAGAATTGATTTAGTCCTTCAGGTACTATTTGTTCATTTTGACCTTCAGAATACTTACAAACTAGCTTTTACACACAAAGAAAAAGTTGTTGTTCGAGAAGCTGAAATGGTTGGGCTGGATTAATTCAGTACTCTGACTGTGCAGTTCAGCCTGAGTCTCATTTTGTTTTTTATTTATAAATAAAACTGACTCGTCTTCATGCTGCTGTCATTACTAGAAACATAAAACCTATCAGAATCAAAGCATCCTCCTAGGAAGCTGTGGAAGAGACGCTCTAACTTGAAGACAACTTAGGTGCTCTGAATTCCTTGTATGTTTTTCAGTTGCAGATAAACATTTCAATTACAAATAATTTTTTTTCACAAAAATACCTCAGGAACTGCAGTTTCCACTAGAGAGAGTGGGGCAGGCATGCATCCACCTTCCTGGGTAATCTCTATTGGCTGATAAATGACTTCAGATGGGGGCAGATAAAAGAATGAAGATGAAGAGGCAGGAGACTGCAATAAAACACATCACTGTCAAAGTTAACTCTGATAACCCATAGGAAACTTAACTGAGGTGGAAGTGGGCAGAAAAAAAAGTTAGATGGCAGGACAAGAATGTTAAAAGTGTCATCACTTGATCCTTTGATCACTTAAAAATAAGTATTTATATTTTTCTTTACATTTTAAAGAACATTGCGAGAGAAATGATAAAACTTTCAAACTGAGATTCACTCTTAAAATTGCAAACTCCAATATTTTTTCATCTTGCAAAAAAAGTTACATTAAAATCATTTTGTTTAATTTTTTTTTAAAGAACCCATACAGCTTTACCTATCTATGTGTTTAAAGCATTAACTTATAGACACACTTTTCAAGACATTTTTGGTTTAGACAGTTAGCTACCTAAACAGATCTTGTATTTTTTCTCGTTATATTCAGAGACAAGAGATCCCTGGAAGAAAAATTTTCTTTTTTCACTGGAATAGCAAGAGGGAAATTTAAGTGCAAGGTCTCCCTCTTCAAGAACAGTAACCCACAGCTGGGACTATGAACAAAGCATTCAAAGATTAGAAGAGTATTATTATTCACACACAACAAACCTAACAATTCAGCCCCCCCTTTTCAAAGGAGCAGACTGATGAACAGAGTGGAACCGACCCAAACTGGACCAGATATCTGTTACTAAAGCAACAAGGATGTATCATAATGCTTCAAGTTTGAGAGCCTTAATGCTCCTTTTAACTTCAAGCTCTTCAAATCCCTTTAATGACAAGATTTCTATACTATGCTCCTCTGCTGTAAAGATCACAAAACTGATAAAATCCATAAAAAGTCAGGATGTCAGCAATTTCATGGCCTTCCTCCTACAATTCTAAGTAGGGTTTGAGCCTAATTTCACCATCCTTGTGTGTCTGCATATTTCTGCTAATACTCTGAAACCATCACAGGCTGTATCTATCAACAAACAAGTTAATATTCATTTCTCCTATCAGGTAAAGCATGGCAGTTTATCTAGGCTTCTGAGAACAAGTATTTGCTCTTTCAACAGAAATTTCCTGTTCTTCTCTATGCAGATATTGGGTCGGGATAAGGAGAAAGATTTTTTTTTAATAAAGAATTTAATTTTGATATGTCAATAAATTTATTTCATGCCTTCTACTACATCCGTAAAAGTTACAAGTGCATTGCTAAATGCATTTGAAACCAACTAATATTTATTTCAATACTGTTTGAAAGAGTATGAAATTCAATTGTATCATTTGATTCAAAGACAAACTATTACAAAAGCTGGAAAAACATCCAGCAGCTTTAAACTATACGCAAACTAATGTAAAACAGAGCAGCTATGAACTGTATTTACCTGTGGAACATTCCACTGCCACTGACTCGGAAGGCACTGTGTTGGGGCCTACATGGAAATAATAAAAGATATTTATAATTTTTTTAAATTTACATATGCCTTTCCAATATACTGCATATACATACACACATTCACAATACACTGCAATCACCTTCCCCCAATCTTCATTCGAATATTAAAAAGAACAAAAAATTAGTTTCCATAATCCTCTCCCAATGCTTAGGAATGTTCAGCTCCTCAACTTCCACTCAAGCCTCTTACCCGAGCATTTTTTAAGCTACTGAAATAATGAAGCATTTAGGGAACAGGAAGACACCAGATGTACAAACACTGCAAGCTGTCCAGAAAGCTCATGGAACCTCCATTGCTGGAGGAATTTAACATTCAATGGGACAAGGTCCGTAGCAAGACGACCTAACTGATCTAACAGGTCTTGCCTTGAGCAGAAGGCTGGACTAGATGATAAAAATTGTGTGGTAGGAAGCCAGTTGTCCAGCGAAACCAAAGAAAGTTTTATTATGTTCCATTTCTAAGTAGTTAGGTGCACAAGAAGAAATTCAGTTCTAGTGGAAAGAAAATCTTCAATGAAATTCAAGTCTTTTATGTGACTATTTTTGACAGTCCTTCTGTTTGTTAAGAATAAGCAGCACTGAGCTAGTACTGCAAATAAAACTGCAAGCTTGGAAGGAATCCTGACACTCTGAACACCATTTCAACAGATACCTGATAATGATATGTAGGAGGCTGATAAACCGGTTGAGCTACCATGACTGGCGAACTGGAAACAGAGCGTGACTTAAAAAACAAAACAAAACAAAAACCAGTAAGTTCAAGCCATAATACAGCACTTTCATAAACTGTCAGTCCTACTAACAGATCTGAAATACTACATATGAGTAGTCATTCCCTTTTGGAAACAGATTTACTAGGCTTTAACTCGCACTTTGATTCTTCAAGATCACTGCTTCCAAGGGTTCGTTACTGATGAAGCTTGTACGAGGACTTCCTCCTTTCCAAAAAAGGAACACCTTTCCCTAAAGCTTTTCACATGTCCTCACCATAGGTATGTTTTTATAAAGGCAATTTAATTTGCCACTGATGTGTTCTCACCTTCTCTGCAGCCCTCAACCCTATGTTCCCTTTTCCATTCCCTTCTCACCAGCCTCAGCATTTGTCTGATCTGGCAACAAACTAGTTTGAGGAGGTAAACTAGCAAAAACATACCTGTTTTTTGGGAGGCCAGCTTAGGGTCAGAGAAACACCACTGAAAGATGGGGGTAGACACAAATGGACAGAGAGAGAGGTGCAGGACCATGCACCTTTAGGTTTGATCTGTTAAAGATACTTTGAACAATTCCCTACATCATGAAATTGCCTCATTCCTGCATAGAGCCATCCCAACAATACTCTAATTCATTCTGCTATATAAAAAAACATCGGATGCAACAATAGACAGACACCCTCATTTTGGGCTTTATAAAGTTATTTGCACACACACACACATACAAGGTAACAACATCTTCAGTAGAGCGAGTATTTTCTAAATTTTCAATACTACTGTGTTTTTAATTCTTGATACACTTTCCTAACAATGAAAGTGAAGAATATGTAAATAAGTAAGACCAAAATAGGCAAGTAGCATTTGGAATTAGAAGCATCAAGCAGTGTATGTTTGGTACTAGTTTGGTACAGTAAAAATACTCATGGCCTTTTTCAACAGGCAGTATTTGAGGCCGTTCTCTCAAACTATTGAACATTAATAGAAAGGCCTTCTAAAACAAACAGGTATTTATACCTTTATTTATGCTCTAAAGCTGAGGAGGCACTATGAGATTGTTGATCACAAATGTCACTCTCAATGAGAAAAGTAAAGAGCTTAAGATTACAAAAAGAGTGGTTAAAACAGGTTGGTAAATGCTGAGGAATAAATTCCACAAATTTCTGCCAAAATGTTCTGCCATAATAACACCAACAACAAAATAAACACCAAACTGGAATAATTATTAGCTCATTAGCAAGAAACAATAGTCTTTCCAATAAGAGCAAGAGGGAGCAACAGCTTCCTTTGATTTTATTCCTAGCTTATAGAGGGGTTTTGCATTCATACACACAGACAGGACACACGTGGCCTTGGGCAAATGCTGCTTTTACAGAAATTAAGAGGTGCGTACTCTGTAGATGCCATCAGTCTTTTAATCCTTCATTTCCTTCACTAACACCACACCTGACAAATAACTCTATCCAATTTTCTCATTCCCACTGACACTTAAACATTTCATCTACTGCATTATCTTCCTCCTAAAATAAGTGTACCCTTAAAAAGGGTATGTAAGACTGTAAGAGGTCTTGCTTTGTTGATCTAGTGTTTCATTTTTCTTCCAACTCAACATAATAGTTATTGCAGCCAAACGCTCTGTATTCATGGAGGAGTAATTATGGAGCCAGTGAAAGGTCATAAGGGCCATCTTCATGTTAGGAAAAAAACTTCTCCTGCAGTAGGAACCCCTATGTTTATATACAGTACTCTTTATCCAGAAAATAGTATCAACCACGACTAGCAAACAAAGGGTATACCTGGAGGGACATGTAAGTCTTGGACTGATCCTAGATTATAAAAAAGTAAATATATAGGAAATAAATTACTTACAGGCCATGCTTGTGGAACAGAAGCAGTTTCAGGCGTATGGAAATAAGCCACTCCATTATGGAAAGTATAAGGATATCCAGTTGAAGTAGTTAGGTACATTGTTCCAGCTGCTGGCATTACACTAGATCCTGAAATTAAATTTTTATATGATAGTTAACTTACCTAAAAGATATTTTTTAAAGTGTGTAGATCACATTTAAAAATAAAATTAAAAAAAAAAATCTTCAGAGAATCAAAACTGACACTCAAAGGAAAGAGCATGGGGCAGAGTGTGCCTAGTGCTATCTCAGTTCTGTCTCAAACACAGAATCCTGAAAGCAGATGGTCACAGGGTAACACAGGTAGATGGAAAGGAGTGCAGAAGATGACATGCATGTCAGTTACTAAACATAGACAACTCCAATTACCAGTAAATATATGATTTTTTTAATCTTCAAGTGTCCACAGGTACCTTCAAATTGTGGGAGATTTTCATTGGTAACCTCCATATATGAATATTTAGCTGAAACAGGATCCAACCACTAGAAACAACAGAAGGATTTCATTAAAAAATGCAGCCTGGTTCCTCAATGCACAATGTTTGTGTATTTCTTCAATGGCACATTGCCTGGTGAAAGTAAAATATGATCAAGGGAGACACTTCCTTCCATGCTGCCACTACCGTACGGGCTATAACAAAGAGAGGCCTCATCCCAAAGCAAAACTCCATCTATACAGCCCTGCAGCAGGTAATAATGTTCAAATTAAAGGACTTTCATTCTATGTAGAGGTTATTTAGCTTTCTCAGTGTTTTGGGGATCATCTAGAGTCTGTTTCCGTCTGGATTAAAAATGTTTCTCTAAAAGTTTCCTATCAAACATGAAGACAAGTTTCAGTTCCAAACATGAGGGACTTCGGGTAGGGGAAGCAACAATAAAAATAAATTCTGTAATAGGTATAAGAATTAAAAGCAACACATCATGGGAAAACTCATGGTAAAACATGGTAAAACAACAACTCAATATGAAGATCACTGAAGAGGCTTTAGTTTTCCCATCTTCCTTCCAAAATTAACTACCACCAGGAAATCCCATTTTCCAAACAGACACAAACTGTAAGTAGAGAGATGATTACGATGCTAAGTGAAGGAATAAGAAGAGCTCAACTATGATTTAAGACCTTAAGGACAATAATAGTCTGGCTCCTACAAAAGTCTGAGGACCCTTGGATGCAGTAACCTGAAGTACTACATACTGGGAGGTCATGGGCTAAGATGGCCCATGCCAGGCTAACTTCAACATGGACTTGAGAAAACCCAGGATACCTCAGATGCATTCTTCCATCTAGAATTCTGGTTACCAATGCCTGAAACGAGGAGAAACCAACAAAACTCCTAGCCAAAAATCCTTTCTGTTCTACCAAGAACATTCTATACAATGTTCTTCTGCTACTGAAGATCTCCCTTGCAAATGAAAAGGCAATATGGTCCATCAAACTTAGCAATCCACCATGAGAGAAAAACAAAACACTCTGGAAAACATAGAGTCACCTAGAATTCCCTCAGCTTACAATAATTAGTTATTCTTCTTCCAGTTGTTCAGGGTTTATTTGTACTTCTCAGCTTCTAGAATCCTCATTCTCATAGCCCTCCATGCAGGGAAAAGCAAACAGGGAACCCTTTCCCACTGCTGCTCCTGGCCCATGGTAAAGAAAAGAAGATTTTTTTTTTTATGGCTTTTTTTATGGCTTTCCCTTTAATCCTAGGTGCCTTAGAACGAGTCAGAGGATTCACCTTGAGCTTGGGGATGAAAGTTTTTTTTTCCTAAGTCGAGGTAGACTTTTTGCCATCACTTCTGCTAGCATTAAAACCTCTTCTGAGGTTGCTGCAACTGAAAGTGGCTGTTTTTTCTTGAACAACATGAAACAGTACGAGCACAGATGTGCTGACTGCAAGCCTCTCTTCCATGATCTGGAAAATTTCCCTGAAGACTGGGTAGTAGGCTTGGAACCCTTAAAATTCAGGGACTGAACAAGGTTGAACTGTTAGGCAAAAAAAGAAAAAGAAACAAGCCCAACAGCAATGCATTATTCAAAAGCCTGTGAGGAAGAGCAGTATTTGAACACTGATTTTCTACCTACTTCTGGAAAAGACAAGGGGTATTAGACACTTAAGTCTGAGGACTGTTTTCTTTATTCCTACTCTTCTAAACTGAGGAAGAAGAATCAACCTGATTACAACCTTAGGGCACATGCTTGTTCCCACTGAGAGGTGCAAAACAGAAATACTGCCTGTGCCTATGGGTGAAGGTATTTTTTTAGTTTAAGAATCTGTCTTGATTCTTAAAGGTGAAATTGCGACCATCCTGAAAGATACAAGAAAACTTTACAAGCTTGAAGAGGCAACAAAGATAGGGGCTCCTCACAATGAATCTAGGCAGAGTCATCTTTTTTCCTCATCTCAGTCACTATGCAACTCAGACTTGCATGGTGTTTGTTATGAAAATAAGGATCCTCCCAACATGTTCAAATCCTAGCACAAAAAGTAATGCGATGACACAGAGCTGAATGTGGCAAAACTTCCTATTAAAGGAAGACAGCAGCTAGATTCCAGTTGGGCTGGAGAAGACAGCAATAAACGAGACTACTAGGAGGACTATCCTCGAACTCCACCAAACACAACAGAGCCCCAGCCTTAGTGATGTTTAGGAGTCTAGGCTTTCCAGCTCCACAAACGTCAGAAGGAGCTGAAGTAAGGCAATGTGTCCTGGTGATTAGGTTAGTGGACTGAGCATGACAGCAAACACATCAAAATGAGAAGGTTTCCTCCCCCTTTCCCTTAGGTCCCTTAGGCCCCACACCTAAAATCACCTGAGTGAAAAAAATGTGCCCACACCAACACTGCTACTATCTATCTATGGACTTTTTCTCATCAGTAAAGCGACAGTATCAGCAGGTCAAGAAAGTTTTAAAATTCAACTAAAATTCTTCAGTATAGTCCTCAATGACTATACTGAAGATGAGCAAAGGTCTATTTCAACTCTTCTGAACTATACCAAAAGCAAATACTGAGTTTCAGCTATATAGCCCTTAGCAAATAATAATAAAACAGCATGCACAGCTCTCAAAAAACACCTGTCAAATCATAAAAATTGGTTATCTATTTTCTGAATTTTTAGTAGTGTATTATTACAGAGAAGAAAATAAAAATAAGCAGTCCCTGGCAGGATAGGAGGACATCTTCTCTAGAAGCAAATCTGTACAATATGAAGGTCTTCCCCAGAAGATCATCTTAGCGCTATACTTACCCAAAATAAAGAAAAGGCTTCTGACAAATAAAACTTAGCAATGTAAGTGTTTCCTCTTATGTAAGTGTTTAGCATGTGCAGTTCTTTGCCAGAGAAGGAAGCCATAGCAATTATCTTCTTATTATCTATCTAATTATCGTCCTGACAGACTTTGCTCGTCAAAAACCAGTAACAACACAATCAACCAACCAGCAAAACACTTTCAATTCTGTGGAATCTGTGAGTACGGTCTTCCTAAAAGCTTAGATTAAAACTCTATCTGGCAACCATAAGTGGCATGCTATCATTCAAGAGAAATTGCCATTCAGCTGGTCCCAGATATGTATTTTTTTTTCCAAGAAATGAGGTGAGGAACATATTAAAGACACAAAAGAGCCAAAGACCATCTATCTGTTTCTTAGGACATTTCCACTGCTAAGTATTTACTTTCCCTACTGACTATTCTAAGCATATGCCACGCACAGCATTAATGCAGTGCAAGATGGGCACATTTTAGTTAAAAGTTTATATTCATAATCACACTTACATACATAACATAAAAATGTAAGTGAAAATACATACGAGGAATCCCTATTTGTTGTTTTCTTATAGCTGGACCAATATTCAATTTCTTATCTTTATAATTAAGTTTTTCAGCCTAGAATGGAGAAAAAAAAAAAAAAAAAAGGATTCAGTCTTCGTATTTTTTACATTTATCTAGGCATTCAAGAAATGAATATCAAAAGTAGATAAGTCACCTCACAGGTCTCACCCCTCCCCTGCCTTTTACTTCCACTGTACCACAAAAACAAGAACTGCAACAACCCCTTTTCTATCCTAACCTTATCAAAAGTAATCACTAGGAATTTCAAATATTGTTTACTCAAAACAGAGCCTCCTGAATAACAATAGCTTTCAGCAAATTGTGCTTTTACGTTTGTCCTCATGCAATATCTTTAGTGCTTTTTCTAAACACTTATGTGTATACAATTTCAAGTATAAAGATTAAAATCAATTTTCCGTGATTGTGACATATTTTACAAAAAAAGACAGCAACAAATAACTACATGGAAAGGACCTAATTACAAGGACTGAACAGAGAAATATTTTCATTTTCACTAATGACTGCCTTAAAACTTACTTGTATCCAAGCTAATAAAATATAAAAGCAGGCTAGAACAAATACACAGTGAAGTTAAACTACAGCAGCAGAATCAAAACAATGCTAATTAGAGAACTGTAAACCCACATTCACTTCAAATTCTTTTGCAAGTAACAGAAAGGGGTTGTCATGCACCACCCCATAAATAAAACAAAAAAATCTTGCCCTCATTTTTAAACTCAAAATTAGCACACTGCTTGCTAATACAATGGGAAGAAATAGGGCAAACATGTTTTTTCCATCTATTGGAATCCCTTTAATATTGCTTTGTAAAATCTGAAAGAACAAGAAGCTCTCCTTCTCTGAATATTTACATGAGAGAATGTAGGCAAAACACTACCACACTGCAGTAAGTTTTCACTGTTACGACCTATAATTTCTGCAGAAGAGTTAATTTATGACTTCAACTTAAAGAAGAATATGGAAAGAAATGGAGTTAGCAATCTCATTCAACAAATGGGTGTTAGATAATGAAAATGCTTTCTTCATTTGGGTCCAATTTTGCAAAATCTTTAAAACATCTGGATGTAAGCCAAGTCTCACCCTCAAGATTAAAAATTAGGAAGAGGCTAAACTGTTGTGTTGAATTACAGTCTTCATAAAAACGTATAAACTAGGGCAAACCTACCTAATAAATACAGAGCAACTCCCTGAAAGACAGATGCACATTTCAGTCAAAATGTTTCCCAGCACAGGCTAAAGGAAGATGATTCTTGTCTGCACAATTGTTTTCATCTATCTGATCCATCAGAATTTAGATTGTTTGCATATACATATATATCTATGATTAACAGTTATATATATTTGTGTGTGTGTATATATATAAAAATATATATAAATAAACCACACATATGTACATCATTCCCAGTTAACAGAAACAGATCATCACAGAAAAAAAGTCTCTCTATGGACTTTTGGGAAACATTTAATATAGCAATGCACAGGAAATTGCAAGTGATTCTAGACAAAATGGGGATTAATAGGAAAAGCTAGGCAAGAAGGGAAGGGGTAGCATTAGAAGTGACAGAGCTGGAAAGAAGATGTTGGTGAAACTCCTCAAGGTCTGGAGACTTATCCAATTTAATACTTTCATCATAGAATGTAAAATAAAGGAAAGTGCTGAAGAATTACTGATGATGTTAAAGTAGGAGGCAAAAAAAAAAAAAAAAAGGAAAACAAAACAGCACAGGATGACCTTGAAGGTATCAGTAACATAAATGAGATGAAATTCAACTGTACAAAATGAAAGATCAAGCAAAATAAACTATTAAAGTTTGGGAGCTCATCAACTAAAAATGTCTGGGAGAAACAGACCTAGATACTAACTGATTGTAGAATATGGAATAGCAATATAATGCATTGGTGAAAAAGGCAATACAGTCATAGGATGTCTAAGTTTAAGGTACTTTCTGTAGACAAAAAAAAAAGGGTTAGTATCATTGAATGAGGCACCAGTAAGGCTTCATGTGCCATAGCTTTCCAGTTACAACACAGGAAAATGCTAAGCCTTTTTCAAAAGGGTCCTCCCTCGAATTACTGGTACTCTCCTGGTTCACAGGAAAGACTGAAAACAAAAAATGATCAAGAAAAATAGCTGACTCGGGAAGTTTCTTCCTATCTTTGTTCTCTAGTCCACAGGTTTAAGAACATTCAAGACATTTTAAAGTGTCCCATTTTTTTTTTTTTTACTTTTTTTTTTTTTTTAATATGAAATATCAGCATCGGCTCAGTTTTTTCAACATTTTAAATTCCACTGCTCTAGCGAAAAGACAATTTGCAAATCTTGGGTTCTATTTTCTGCTCTTTTTTTCTTCCAGATACCTTCCTATAAATTAACAGGCCCAATTCAATCAGACCATGGAACACAGATTTCCAGAAATGAAGAACCGAATCACTTAACTATACCCTCACCTCAAGAAATGTTCTAGAAAGAACCTTAAGACATTAATCTATCAAACTGCATAAACAACAGTAGCATAACTTAAAATAAGCTTCACTTTTAGTATTTCTCCAGTCAATTGAATTATTCCCGAGGACAGCAACACCAGCTCTCACAAACACGTCAGAAGTGGTAAGCAGACATCCTTCCCAGCTCCCCACAAAATTTCACAGTGATTAAATTTCTACTGAAGCAACTTGAAACAAATCTGAAGGGTAAAGAGTATTTAGCATGCAGTAAACAACTACTTTGTGGAGTATGTAAAGGATAAGAAAATAAAGAGTGTTTGTCAAAGCCTAGTGCTCAGATGTGAAGTGTTAAGTCCCTTCTCTAGCTCCAGAAGATCTCTGCATAAATCCTCTCTTAAGACAATGACTCAGATAAATTTAGGTGGGACAAAGAAGGTAAAATGACCAATCTCAGCAGATCTGCAAATCCAATCTGGCAAACACAGGATTGCCAGAATTGACTAATTTGAAATTTTAGGAGATAACCATAATGGGAAATGTTACTTACCTCTTGTAAAATCTTCTGTGCATCTTCTTGGGTTTCGAAAGTGATGAAGCCATACCTAAATAAAAATTTTTGGAGTTAAGTCTTTGGAATTTGTATTTCATATTTATATTGCCTATTAATACTTAAACATAGTACAAACGACATTTGAAAAGTAAAAATATGAAAAAAGAAAGAAATAGATATTGTAAAAACAACCTCAATCCTAACTTTGCCTCCTTGTTATAAACTGCCTTCTGGCATGTTTAAGTACATGATCACATAATACTGTTTTAATACAGTAAATGAGTAGCTCATTTCGATAGCTATTCAAAATGTCCTGTATCTTCCTCAATATTCAGTATATATGTCTTTAATTCCTTCATTTCTGTTAAGAGAGTTTGGATCTGCAGCTCTCATTAGCTATGGGCATCCAAGATGAGACACCTAGCATATGATTTCAATTATACAGTACTCATCTTCACAGTATAGCTCCCTTCTACTTGAGTGACATCTGAGTGCTCCAGTTTCACAAGCAGCACCCAGTATATTACAATAAATTCTCAGAGAAGACAGCAGTGCAGAGATAGTATTCATCTGTGAATTATTTTTGCATATGACATGATTAGCATTAAGCAAGAGTAGTGTGGTAGGGTCAAGGACAAAATAGTTTTATACTTTTATACACAGTAGGTCTCTTCCACCATTCCTCTAACTGCTGCAACAAACCAAATGGGCTGTTTATACATTGAACTTCTGCTGTACCCAAATCCCTACATGAATTCCTGAGGAAATCTATGCTTATCAGTGAGGTAGTAAATTGATTTTTTTTTTCTGAAAGGAACTTATTCCGCTAAGGGTGTGTGAGACTGCCATACATGTACCTCCCTCCCCTCCAAAAAAAAAAAAAAAAAAAAAAAAAAAAAATCTTTCAAAATTCTCTGAAATGAACTTTAGCTTCCTAAATTCCAATTAATAATCTTAATGATTTTGTGTGTATGTTTTCTTAGGTTTGTGCTCATTCCTTAGGGTCAGACTACAAGAGGTACTGAAAAGGGCTCTGTCATTCTAGGCTACAGACCTGATTTTCAATACATTCTATCATTCCTGTTGAACACTTTTATGTCTACTTTAGTAGTCAAAAACAGTAACTCTGACCTGTTTCACTACTAAATCTCTGGGCCTCTGCTATACTACCTTCTCTAACCAAGTCTGAAGCTTTCCACATCCAAAGACCACAGAAGTTAGTTGCCTAACTTGAGGTCTTACTTACAAAGGCTTTCAATTCTGTATGCCATCTTGACAATAAACTAAGAAACACAATTAAGCAAACTTGGAAATAAATTTTGTAAAACAAATTTACAATTTGTCAATCGTAACCTACCAAGTTTGTTCTTGGATTTCTATTTAGAAAGTCACTATAAGCAATTCTCTTCTGACATCTTTATTGCAAATTGCCTGTTGATGGTCACAACTGTGCAATAACTGGACCTTCTTGGATTATTATTATAAAGAAGGGAGAGACATCTCTCCACACTGTCTCTCAGAAATAAAAATATATATTTTAAATACCCAAACTACTCTTCTAGGATTACCTATTCTAATTATTATTGCTATTAACCTTTTTCTTAATAACACACAGCTTTATTTTACATAATAATGATATAATTACACAGTTTCATAATTAGGCAATTTAAAAAGGCATTTAAAGGTAGAAGTAACAGCAGAATTTTGTATGTACAGCATAACTGGGCCTATTGATAACATAATACTATTGTTAACTATTAAAGCCTTATTCAATTTACTAGTCATTAGTAAATAGTCATTAGTCAAATTAGTCAACAGTCATTATTTACTGACTAGTAAATTGTTCTGAATAAACAGTTCTGTTACGCTTTCAATTTCTAAAACATGCTTACTCTACTATACCAACCCCTTTGATACTCCAGCTCTGTCATTTACTATCTTCACCTCTTTCACACAGCCATACTGGGCAAAAAACTTCCTTAGGTCATTTTCGTTAGTCTAGTAAAGTAAATTAAGGGAAGAGAGGAAAAGATATTGCAAAGTTAATCAATACTTTGAATAAAGTTTACCACAAACTAATTTTATTCCTTAATGCAATTTGTATGGAAGAACGAACACGTACATGCATCACAATGGAAGAACAACAAAAAAGCTCCATTTTTTAATTTCTCCATTTTCCCATTCAGCAATACTCATAGAAGCTAACTAAAATAAGAAAGTTCATGTGCTGAATAAAAGTGGATTTAAATTTATCTATTTCTGAATTATAGCTTCCATAAGTTATGTACATGAACACATGGTTGTAATGTTCTCAAGCCTCAAAACAGCAGTTTATATAGGCTAAGAAGAATGTGCACAGTCACAAAAACATCATTTAAACACAGAGAATTAATGGCATGGTCTTTTGTTAAAAACATAGCTAATGCTGATGTGAGGGGCACAGATTTCAATACGCCTCAAACGACTTCTATATTCGTCTGCATGTTTCAGTATTTTAAGGAGATAATATACCTGGCACTATTTTAAGTAGCTATTTTCTATTGTTTTGAAATATACGTATATAATTTAGCAAAATCTTCCCTTGCCCATCCAAGGCTTTTCTACCTTATCTGAATTTGAGAAGCAGGAAGGGTTAAAGCGGCAAAAAAAACCCCCACAAACCAAACAGCTTCCCCTGAAATGCTGCAAGCTCTTAACCAAAAGAGAGCACTGATGGTAAAACAGTATGTAATTTCTCTTATTAATCAATTTTTTTTTTCCTCTCTCTCTCTCTCTCTCTCTCTTCCCCCCCATTATAACATTAGAACATACACACCCGCTCCACAAGTATGGAAAGTAATGACAAATATGAATGGATCTGAACAGGCGAAATGCACTTCAGTGTTTCATTAAAGCTCAGTAATAATCTCTTCTGCTTGTAAACAGCCTGCACCAGCTCCCAAACAACTATCACCCTTGGTATTAAGTCCAGAACTACTCTCTTGTAAGGACAATCATTTTTGCACCTAAAAAAAGGGTGAAGGTCACTACATACAGGACTAAAAATTCAGCCAAATGATTGATATAATACACTGTAAAACTATTTTATATAAGGTAAGGTACTCTCACATGATTGAGCCTATCTGCTCAGAAATTAAAGTCCTATAAGCAAGATTCCTCATTTCTGGGAGATTTTTTCTACCATCCTTGTGAGCTCTAAATATTGTATGAAAGATGAGAAGAAACTGTGATAAAATTGTTGAAACCTAAAACACTCTGAGGCACAGGCCAAGCACCCTGAGGTCTGTGATCAGTGCAGAAAGTTTCATACAACATCTATAGGATGTGGAGAATGTATACCTGTGTGATCACAAATTTCAAAACTAAAAGTTTTATCTGCAGAACACTATATTTATGAAGGAAAATAAGAGAAAACTGTTCTCAGAGACTGACAGGGAAGTTGACAAGCACTTGCATAAACATGGTATCCGAAGGTTTGCCAGAAAGCATTCAGATCTCGAGTCCTTTCCTTCTCATGGCAGGTCCACATCTTTAGGACACATGCTAAATTCTCAAGAAAGGTTAAAAGTAAGCCTTCACTCTAGTCAAAGATGCACATTATCTAACACTAAAGAAAGATGCTTTCAGATCTAGGTGAAACGTTACACAGTCATAAATTCAAGATTTACCTACCTACCTAGAAGAGGTCATTTCTCTCATTGAATGAGTTTTCTAAATTTAGAAGGGCGGGTGTCTTTTTTTTAATTTTGGTATGGACCAAACAAAAGTGTCTGGTAAAATGGTAAGAGACATTTTAAAAAGTCTGAAAACTATGTTGCTTTTTGAGAAGAAGCATCCACTTTTCTCGCTCATGTACACTCATAAACTATAAACTAGTTTTAAACTTTGTTTTTTTCCCCTAACTTGAGCAAAGTCCTTTGGAAAAAATACAAAAGGGGAGGGAAAAAAAAAGAAGAAAAGAAAAAATGCCACCAACACTCTTCGACGATCAGATTTCTGGTAAAAAGCAATCCAGACCAACTGATAAATTTTGTTCAAACGTAGGATAAATAAGACAGCTGAGCCTCGATAAATGGAAAGGTAGGTAAAATTACTACAGCAGTTTCATCCCTTCCATTTCCTTTCTCACTGAAAGGTATCTTCATGTTTATAGATATGATTAGACTTAACCTACATTCATGTCTTTAAAATTACATAAAGGATTTTTAAAAGATTGTGACCCTTTTTAAGAGATCCTTCAGAATTCACAGTAAATACAACAATTAACAAGAATACTAATATGTTACACAAAATAAGGTATCAGTCTTTTTAAAGTGTAGTGAAGACAAAACAGCGACATGGGTCTTTTCAGCTCTATTAACACAAGGAGACACAGTGTCTCTTTGCTAAAGCCCAAATGCACTGAAGACCTTGTAGGACATCGCTTCAACTACAGAAACCTCCATTTGAATTGCCTCAGCCAAATGAGCCAGAAGATCCTGGAAGTTCTTGTATTTATTATGCAAGATAGTCTGAGTAAATTGTCATCCTTTCTCCTCTTCATCTGAGTCAGTGTTGGAAAGGTCCTCAGCCTAAGAGGATTAAGGCAGAGAAGATACTGTTGGTGGGCACAGAGGAACAGCTAAGCAGACCAAGAATGTTACGCAAAAGTCAAAGACTTTAAACTCATTATCTAAAGCTGTAAGAAAGAAAAGTGAGAGTAGCTGGGAAAGGTCTGGTACATCTCTCCACAAATATTCAAAATGACTGAAGGATATAAAAATGGACCACTATTTTCTGCTACTTGAAGTGTTTAAAGCATATGCAAAAGCACATACAGAGCCTTAGAGTTCAGAACTAGCAAATTACCCAGAAATTTTAATAGTTAAAAAGATTTATTTTTAGGAAAGAAATCCTATAAAGGTGAATACACACTTTCCAGCTTCTTCTCTGAATAAACTGAAAGTGATGTATGAATTGTATCTATTGACTTTTTTTTTTAATGTTTGCAATCCATGACTGTGTTTATTGCTTATTAAATTACACAAAATGCTTTTAAATATATTTCTATTAGACCTACTTATTAGAAAGGAGTTCTTGGAAAGGAATAAACATTTCTTAAAACCAGCCTATCAGTATCTTCTAGCAGATTGGGGTTACAAACAGTCAACTTAACAGGAAAATCAGGTAAAAATCAAGATTTAAAGCTTTATTCTCTGCTATCAATTAAAACATCACAGTGAAAGGCACTTCCCACCTAAACAAACACACATGTGATCATTCATCTCTCATTTTTTCCTATTGAATTTTACAGTTATAAAATAGTTAGAAACAAACAAACAGAGTAAAAATAAATAAATTAATACCTTAAAATCAATTCCTCCTACAAAGATCCGATTAGGAATAACCGTTCCAAACCTTGGGGCACTGGTTGGATTACTTAAAGGCACTGGTGACACAGTGTTGGGAGATGGAGAAAGAGATTCTGCTTGCGTCTGATTTGTGGTCTGCTGATTGAAAGAAAACAGTTTCAAAACCTTACCTAATGCAAGCCATTCAAATAAAAGAATTCTAAATAAATATGCATATGGAATTTTAGGGGAGCAAGCAAGTTGTGAACAGTTGCGAACATCAACCACTTTTCATTCAGTATCTACCTAAGCAAAGCATTTAGACATAAACCTAATATTAAGCATTTTAAGCATTCTTGAATTGCACAGACTGAAATATGACTTAATTTTAATACTATTCTGAATTAGGTGTTTATGATCCAATCCCCAATTCTTCACTTAATTTTTATGCTTGCACAGCACATTTTGAGCACATATCTCCAAACATACACCTATAAAATTCTGTTCATTGCAACCTTTAGGTCTTCATTTTCTGCACATTGAGCACCCATACTTGCACCGCATAAAGCCAACAGGAGGGCAGGAGCTCAGTACATCCAACAGGGAAGGCAGCTGAGGACTAGTGCTCCAACTCAATAGACTCACTTGGTCCACAGGCATAGCACAAAGTGACCGAAGAGCACATAGTGACAAAGTGACCCCAAAGGAAATTCTCTCTGCAAAAGAAGAGCCAAATACTCTTGCCCAAGCAGAGGAAAGTAACATAACATGTTTGGGACTTTGTGAAACCACTATTAAAGAAATCTGCCTGATGATTTAACTTTCACCATGCCTACATCTATGAACTGCGGACTTGTATTTCAATGGAAAAATCTTTTGACAATACACCACTTAGACCACCCTTAGGTAGCCAACCCTAACTGTGAGATGAGAGCTGTAAAGCAGCCACTCTGTGCTGGACCTGTACTTCTCTAACAGGAATTGCAGTAGACACCTGAAGACCATTTTTACTGCATACAGTTAAGTTCACTTGTATTCTGTTATTGGAGAAATTTTGCTCTCAACTGTGCTTTTACTCTGTGCAACTCTGATATGCAGTTAATAACCTGAAATAGTATTTTTGATAAAAACAAAAATACACTTCCCACTAAGTGCATGAATCCAGTCAATTCACTTGCTTCCTTCTCTTCCTCACACCAATTCCAGACAGCAGTGTTCCAGATAGGAACCAAAGTGGAAGACAGCAACTAGGTATATTAATAGAAAGCACAATAATAAATAAACAGAATTAAGAATATGGGGGTCATGGTCTCCTTTACTGCATTTGATTCCAAGATTTTCCTGTCGGGCCACAACTACTAAAATTTGTAGCTAAGAAGCAAAAGACGAGAGACACGAAAGCATGTTTTAAAATCTGAAAGCTACTACATCTAATACCAAAGTTCTTCCCACTTCATGCAGTACCCTATCTTCTAGTTTCCACAGGAAAATTAGAGCAGAAATTTAGGTTCTCTTAAATGGATTTTCTCACAGAACCTCCCACTCATTTACAGTTTTACTCTCAAATTTTATTAGTCTCATCTGTTCACAAAACAGCCCCTTGCCTTTTTGAATAGCATTTTCCTATCTCTATTTGTAAGCATCCTGGGATTGAGAAGAAAAAAGAAAAAAAATTATTTTTGGGAGAACACACACAAAACTAAAGGCTTTAGACAGACAAAGAAAGGGAAAAATCATCTATAGCACATTAGGAGCACAGAGAGTCTGATCTACTACTGCAAATTACTTCGGTAGAATCAAGAAAGGATTATCTAAAGGCCTCATCCAAAAATTCTAAAATATATTTTTATAAAACTGGTTTATGTTCCGAAATCCACTAAAATAAATCTGAACCACATAATAAAGGATGTACCATAATCCTTCTAGATAACATAAACCCTACATTAGAGCAACTGTACTGCGTCAGACCAAAGGCTCACAAGGTCCTGGGTGTTTTTAACAGCAGTGAAAAATCAGATGCTTGGGAAGGGAAATAAAAAAAAAAGAAGAAGAGAGTATATGGCCAGGAACAAAT